CTGAGAATGAGCGGTGCGTCGTCGAGCTGGTGCTCGAAAAGAGCGAGAGCGCGGATAAGGAGGACCCGGATTGTGTCCCTATGACTTCTGTTGGCCGACCTGCTGTGAGTATGAGCGTTCAAGCACACGTTTATCTTATATAAGAGAGGGGAACTCGCGAATATTGCCCCGCCCGCCAATGCCGTAACCTCTGAGTTGCGCGTCCCTCTCCCTAATCTCACCTCCTATCTCGTGATTTAATTCATCTGAGCTCCGTCGTCTCCGGGATCGAGCCGGAGTACCGCTGACTGCCGTATCGAAACGCGTCTGGCCTGTTGATCGTAGGTTGGTAGTGGATACGCTACGCACTGGCGCCAATCGGCCCTGCACTCTTACGCAATGTTGTGGTCGCTCTTTTGCCGGTAACAACCGACTCGTGTCAGGATCCAGATCTAATAATGATATCGATCTGTCGCCCTCGTCGCTTCTGCGATCACGATTGGGGAGTAATGTGGCTAATTCAGCGAGCAATGGTGGTAGCGGAGGTGGCGGTGTATACGGGTGCGAACGCATGGTGAATTTCTTTGCTTATGCTTGCCTCTGCATCCGCCACGTCGCGAGAAGTCAATTCAACAGCCGGTGAGATTGGCTTTTTCGAATTTACGATATATCGAAAACAGGCTGCATTGGGTATCTTGGTGATAAGAAAATTGATACCCAAAATCGTAAGGCTTCACAGTTGTAGGTAGATATCTCTTACCGCCTTGGATTGCAGCGGCGATGATGTCAAGATCACATTGTAAATGGGAATAATGGGAAATTGACGTTGGGAGAAAACGCCAAAAAGGCGCGGAACGGATGTTAGACAAAGAGATCAGCCCCCGTCGGACTTGGATTTCAATGGCTTGGAAACTAGGCGTTGCTTATCAACGTTGATCAGCCCGCCTTTTTACTTTTATCGTAACTTTATCGTAACTAACAAGTAACTATGCGCAATTGAAACTACTAAGAGGCGCTAGATAACGATGATAACACATCTCCTGATAAAGCTAACGATGGCGTAGATTTTAATAAGATAACATTTAACTAAACTAAATGATGGGAGATTATCATCTATCAATAGAATATTATGAAATTATGAATCTATTTACAATGAAGTCGTTGAATGAAATAGACATGAAACTTTGAGGCTCTATGAGATCGGCAAAGGATTTGAGACACACATTAAAACTGAACCATGGCTTCAATTCTAAAGGGTCGCCGCCGTATGCAGGGACGCGGCGTTGACATAAACAGATGCCCTCGTGGCAGCCCATACAACAAAGCCCATATTTATTGAAAATATGGAAATTGAATTACCTAAAGTTTCTCAATTTTGGGCGAGCCAGAATAGGTATCGTTGCGGCGAAATCGTATTTTGAATATTATCATGACCAGTCGCCTCTTCGCGTTTATAATCAATTGTAATTGTTGTAATTACAATCTCGTACATACCTACGTAGAGCGGCTTACTAACAACGCACGCGTATTGATATTAATATTAATTTTCCCCCCTTACGTAGTGAGTTAACTAGGTAGGTTAGTCAGTTATCGTATCATCTTATTATCTCTCTCTCTTATTACCTCTCATATTACGGGGTCGTAAGGCTTAGGGCTAATAATACATAACTAACTAAAAATCCTCTATGTGGGTATTAAGCGGTCGCTCCCGCGTGTCGGTGCTTTTGGACCTTTATGTTTAAAACAACTTCGTCTCGTTAGTTATGTCGCATTGGAGATGCCTATTATCATTGAAATAGGAATGAAAACATGGCAGAGTGTTTATTTTGAAAAAGATGAAGCGGAGAAGTTCAACGTTTAAAGCTCGTGTAACATTGCATATGGGCCGAATAACTTGCTCATTGCGCTCGTTGCGGACCGTAACCCCGCTAACAAATGCATAACTATAGGTACCTAGGTACCTACCTAATGCTTAGCGTAACTTTAATAGGCTTTTATGTACATACTGACTTTATTGGCTAATGTACGCTCGTTATCCACATTATGTAACGACAAGGTTTTATGTATAGTCTTTCATCCGCATGCGCATTGCGTATGCTCCTACATATGTCGATATTTACTTACATAGGTAAGGTAGGTATGCATGTAGTTCGCAGCTCAGCTCAGTTCAAGGTCCATTGCTTAGAAGAGGGGTTACTATAGTGGCGTTTTCGAGTATACGGGTGGGCAGATCTACTTACATACCTATGTAACATAGTACCATCACTTGGGATGAAGCATGGAAAAGGAGACGAATCTTCTTTCATGTCGCCATTCACACGTGAACTTTCATTGATGTCTTGCAGACGTCCCCATGCATCATCTATTGGGAAACTTGGCGGAGTTAAGAAAACTCCTCACGCATTAATATTGTTGTTCATGTCAATATCAATTGGACAAATCGCTTAGCATTTCATCGTTTCAAGGAACGTTGTATTTTGGAGCTTTCACTTTTCGCGGTAGTTTTATCCTTTAATCCTTTACAACTACTTGTCGACTCGATCGGCGTATTTACTATAACTGCTCTTACTTCCGTCTTGATGCAGTTCCGTCTTGATGCAGACCTAATCTATGCGACGCCTCGGTAAACGCTGTGCTCACCGTCGTTTGAATTTCCGCGAGGGGTTTAATTGCTGCTGCGGGGTGATCGAGAAGGCAAGATCAGAACATGTCTACATACATACATGTAACCCCCTCTGCCCCTATACGTTGCATCCTGTTGTGTACGTAGAAAATTCTATATATGCGGCTAGTCAAGATGCGAGCAATGCAAGCCTCATTACCAATGTGCTGGGAATGGTAGGTAGTATTTCCAACGATGAACAACACCTATTCCATACTTTCGGCCGAGTTTTTTTTTTTTTTTACAGTAGCATGAACTGGTAAAAACTTTTACTTTTATTGTTGTAACTACTAGTTTTGGACTTTTATTGAATAGTTACATAGAAACAGGGCTGAAAGGATTAGTAGTTAGGACCAAGATTCAATCCATGGCCATGGCATCCTAGAAGCAATAAACATGGTTTTTCTTGGCCTAAGCTAGGTTGATAAGTCTAGAACATTGAAACTTGCTACTATGTACATATTCCCTGGAGAGACGCTCAGACTTGAATTGTGAGGCGACAAGGGCAAATCCTTCCTTTTGACCTGGTTGACTTCCATGCAACCCCACGCTTAGTGATCAAATAAATAGGTACGGATGTCCCTTTCAAAAGTTTTTACCATAGGAAGACCCTTGTCACCCCCGGCAAGCTTTGACCAAGCTTGGCAACAACTGCTCACCTTTTTAATATGTGTATCTTATTTTACTCTGCTATTTTAATAGGATATAACTTTCTGAAACTAAATTCTAAAATTCTTCAAAAACGTAAATTATAAATATAAAATAATAATTTTTAATATGATAGTTTTTTGTTTTATTTTAGAATTATATTTGGCTGTAAAGCTTAGTAGTAAACATTAGGGATAATAATGTATACATCTTCAAATCACCCGACAGTTGCAGACAAGTACCAGACAGCTGGCGACAATCTTGACAGGGGTTCCCTATGGTAAAAACTTTTGAAAGGGACATCCGTACCTACACAATATAATAATTTATCCTCGTGTATAACAAAAAAGGGGCGCAGCAATAAGCATAAAAAGACCCCATCGTCGATGTAATGTGGAGTTGCCCTTTTTTTGAACCTAACCCCCCTTGACCCCTGTTGTAACACTGACCTGAACCTTTTAACCCTTGTTGCCGCGGCGCCGAGGGAATAGCTACGTACGCTAATTCCTATCTCTAACACGTTGACAAAGATATGTAGGTAACTATGTAATAGGGCCGCCGTTGAAACTATTGGCGAAAAAACGTCTTCATTGTGGCACTACATTAGCTCCCTAATAAGATCCCGTCAGCTCCCCGGATCCCGTGTCTTAACCCGGGATTTGTCTGTCTCTAACCTAGTGGCTTAGGGGCCGGGATAAGATGCCTTTCCGAGGTCGGCTCGGCCGTTCGTGATTGGTCTTGTCAGCTTTTGAAATTAGCTGCTAAGATTCATGTCGTCGATCATTGATCGATCAGCTATAAGCCTCTTTAAATTTGCTCTTTGATCGAATAATGCTATTATGATAGAGCCTCGAGGTTACTTTCAAATTACGTAGCTCTCTTTCTATTTGTCCCCCTTTTCTCCTTTTCTCTACTATTATGCGTGTCATTGCTGGGCGCATGAGACGGGTATTAGATTTGGAGTACATACTAAGTCATCACATTACTTGTTACGAAAGGACCTATGTATGCAGTAAGTTCCTTGCTGTCGGTAACACGTCTGATAACATGGTTCGAGTGTTGCATGATATTGGGATAGAAACTTGAATATGAATATGCTAGACAGGGTAGAAAATTTCACTAACCTAGGCTATATCCTATACGACACGCAAGCGAGTGGCTGGCTTACAGTGTGTATTTCACCTTGTATATGTTTTTATTTACCCCTATGTCTATGTATCTTGGCAGGCAATACGAATTACGTTTCTGTGTAATCATTCTTTGTTAAGTACTTCGTACACCGAGATTTCACGTGAATAAGACTTATGCTGGGTTCGCTGCACGTGTTTTGCACTGCATCAATAGTATTATGCATACCCAACCTCACCATGTGCTGTTGGTTGCTGGATTATGGGTATCATCTAATTTCTACTCGAGAAAAAAAAAAAAAAGAAAAGCATGCTATGTAATTGTACAAAAATTTTGTAACAGAGGAAAAGAAATGACAGATCATGCTGACGCGCCAGCGGAATATCGTATAGAAAAAAAAAAAAAAAGCAGAAAAAAAACAAAAATATAGAAGAATCAACGAAGAGTGCTTTTTAATACATCGTCTCAAAGACAAATTCCGTCCCAACCTGTAGTTCCATAGCCCAAATAGAAGTACAACCCAACCCTCATGAGCACACGCCCGTGCTTGCTCCCAGAGCACATAGAAAAGATCTAGATTAGTCTAGTTCAGATTCGGCTCCTGCGAGTCTAAAGGCTTTAAGCTGTCGTCTAGAGATTCTAGCTTCTTCATGTTGCCGTACTTGTTCATCCACTCGGTATTAACGTCGCGGTAATCCTCAGGTCCGTACGGTTCGTAGAGCTCCGCCAGGAAGCCCTTCTTACGGTAGATGTTAAGACCTAGGTCGCGCTGTAAGAGATCCAGATATGGAACGGCGTCGAAGATGAAATTGGGATTCTTCGTGCCGTCGGTCGGGTAGCGCCATTTGCCAAAGCGGTTGTGCAGCATGGTCTCGTATTGAAGCTGGTCCATTGCCTTCGGGTCGCCAACCGCCATCGACGGGTCTCGTTCCAGCTTCCCGGCGAAATAGGCGCTGATCCAGAGACCCTGCAAATGTGCAGTAATCATGTTACTGAAGTTGGACACGATACCGATGAAAGCTGTGTCACGGGGGCGCAGGAATCGCTCGGATGGAGGTACGACAAAGTGGTGCAGCATATACGGAGTGAGCGGTTTATAAGGGGTCACGTCATCATCACTCATGATCCCCTTCTGCTCAGTCATGGGGACGTAATTCTTGTTCCATACGGGCGGGTCTCTTAACCGAGGAAAGCGGTCAAGGATATCTTTGTCTACGCGCTCCATCAACTCTGGGTTATTGGCGAGGTCATTAACTGGTGCGTCAGGGTTCGGGCTATGCGGAACACCAAGTTCGCTCTCGATACCTTCTGGTAGGAGTTTTATGGACGGCACGTGCTTCCAGCCAGTGTGCGCCAGTAGAGCGTCAGACTCAAACTCGGAGCCGTCGGATAGGTGGACCTTTCCTGGGCTGAGATGATCGATTTCGCTAACATAGACGTTGACGAGATCGCTCTTAACGATATCCATGAAGTTGGTATCATAATTCATGATACTGAAGCTTGAACCTGTAAACATAGCGCTGGTCCAAGGCTTCAGCTTGGCTGTCTTCGGATGGGAGTCGTATCCGTTGAGGCTGATAACATCTCCTCCTAACACCTTCCAGAAGGAGTTAACGATGGCACGTCCGACAGGAGTTCCATGGTAAAAGCCACGAATTCCACCGTAGCCGTCAATATCGCCCCATGCGCAAGGGCTGAACCATGTCAAGAATCGCATGTCTATTTCACATGTGTTAAAAGGTTTTAAGGCTTCACAAACAATTATCGCAATGGGACTTACTGGCGAGCTTCTCGATCCACTTCTTAAGTGGAGTTACGTACGATGGAGCGATCCAACAGGGGCCGTGGCCGGAAGCTATCGAAATCGGTTAATAACGCCACGATTTATCAATATTCACGAGAAAAAAAACCCCCCCAAAAAAGAACACTTACAGCGAATTACCCAATCTACTTTTACGCCGGCGGTGGCGTAGGCGTAAACGGCATCCCAGGCGAATTTGGTGGCGCCGAAGATCGTAACTCTCTTAGCGGTCTGTAACGTATCGGCATTTTGCTTAAATGCCTTGCCATGGAATATTCTTCCACCAAAGGTCTCTTCACCTTCAAAGTGCGGCAAGAAAGGTTCTGAAGTTAAACCTGTAGCGAAGATAACTCGACGCGCGAAGACCTTGGTCTCGCTTTGATTCGGCGGCTGGATCGTTAAGACCCAACCACCCTCGACAGTATCCTGATGCTCAGCAACGAGAACTTTAGTGCTTAAACGGACCAGGTTTGTGATTCCAAACCTGGCCGCGTACGCCTTGAGGTAGTTGTTGATAACCTCGCCTGGCATATGTTCGCCCGGCTTGACACCAAATGTCGGCGTGTCCATGGGAAAGTCGGGATACTCGAACGTTCCCAGAAGATTGTTACTCTTCAAGCCCGGATATAGACGATCGTTGGCCCACGTCCCGCCCAAGCTGGATTGGGAGTCGAACACCGCGAGCGAACATTCTGGTTGAGTAACGTGAAACTGCTTCGCGGCGGCCAATCCATACCAACCTGCCAAGCCGGCAGAGTCAGCTATGCGCCCTCACGATTATATGATAGATACCATTTTGGTCGGGAGGTATATAAGAGAAGACGGAAGGACTAAAAAGGGATATATTATATCAAACTTACCAGCACCAACAACGACGCAGTCCAGCTTCTCCATTGTGATGTTTTCTGTGGCAGCGATGGCATCGCGCTTTTCGGCAAAGCTTGTGTCGGCCATAGTGATACACACTTACACAAGACTACCTAGGTAGCTAGCTCGGTGCTTTATCCGATGAACCTTTCCGTGTCCTACGCAAACAAGCCAAACAAGCAAATGGCGTCTTGGTATAGAAACGAACCGGGAGTCTGGATAAAAGTCATAGGATAAACTTGAAAAAATGCGAAACGCACCCAAGGCGCCGAGGGCTAGGACATAATAGTAAGTATGTAGTCAAGAGAGGAGAGAGAGAGACAGAGAGGAGGAGAGAAAGAGCCTTACTACCCTCCCTTCTTCCACGCGGTATGTAGTAGGAGGGCCTCGACCTATTTTGCACCATAGCCATACCTAGTACCAGCATGCTGAGCAGGAAACGGCATCGCTCGTCTGATCCAACATCATTCCCCGATGGCCCGCTCTAATCTGTCGTTCCCCTAGTCGTACGGTGCGAAGCAAGGGTGCAATAGGGTCCGTGTATTGGGGACCCTGGGGACCCTTGGAGTCCTTGGGGGGGGGCGACGGCATGACAAGGGAGTTGATGTTTACACTACCTTAACCTAACCTAACCTAACCTAAGATTAGTTACCATAGTATGAGAAGTGGTTCTCGAAACGGCAACCCTCCACACTCTTGGCAAGAATTGCTAAATGTTAATCTAATCCCGCCAACGTCAAACGAGTATATCAGCCGAGAAGATCCATGCCAATCACTTACTATTCTTGGACTTGGTTTGGTCTATCTTAGGTCTCACCCGTCCCGTCGTCGCAATCCCATACATACATAGTAGTTAGACGTAATTGTGTAAGTTTGGTCCTCCTTTCCCGTCTCTCATAACCCCACCTATGTATTGTATTCCCTGGAGTCCTTGTCATTAATTGACCATCTTATAGCTCGTTAAAGTCTAGATGATCCCCAGTTTTTGCTGCTGCTACTACATGCTGCTGCTGTGATATGCACGAAATTCAAGATACTTAATAATACGTCCCAATTATAAACCAATTATAACGTAGCTATCGGCACAGACCGACCGATGAATTGCCAATGATTACGATGATGACAATGATGATGATTACGATGATAACAGATTAGCATGATAAATAAATTGAGGGATTCGTGACCGGATATTGACCACTTACGAGATGAGAACTTATTACAGCGTCACCAACAAGTAAATAAAATTTCCCACTATTGCTTACGGTCCAAGTCGTCTAAGTCGTTTTAAGTCGTCGCTAAATACTAACTTGCATATGCGTAATGTAGCTGTTGCAGCACACCATCTTGTTTTGCTTGTAGTAGATTCGTAGATGCGTTAAGTGCGTTAGGTGTAGATGTTCTAGCCTGCATCTGTACGTTATGGGGAGGGGTGTCATGCATAATACATCAGATATATGTACATACATACATACATACATATAGATATACATACATACATACATACATATAGATATACTACCCAAGTATTATACTATATACATGGACAACACAAGTCCGAGCTACGCCATGCATTGTTAGTTAATACCGAACGGGTAGGTTTGGAATTCCGGATGAGATATTCCGCCTACCTGAGGCTCTCTAGCTGTTCTCTAGCTGTTTAGCTTCGATTCTCGAATCCTTCTCTAGTCCTAGCCCTCCCCTGAGCATTCGACTCCTTCTTTTCTTAGCTACATAAGCCACGAGGACGATTCTAGGAGATTTTTTGTTTTTGTTTTATGATTCTTCTTCTCTTCTTCCCCCCCGGCTCTTTCATCCTTACTTTCGTCTCACACGAACGCCTCGGAGGAACTAAATTTCTTGCGCCGAAGGCTGAAGCAGTGGCACCGAGGTCCCGCAAAACATGCAGAAAGCTAACTTACCGGCCCCTGAGGGAATGTAACCGTGATGTTTAGCCGCGCATATCCTTATGCATAGAATCGGAGTCGATAATACATACGTCTCACAAAGGCACGGCACATTTTCAATTCAATTCACAAATAAATAAATAAAAAACAACCATAATAGTTCTAGGGCTTATATGTGACGCACGATACAGGAGCTATGTATGTATGTATGAATGTATGTATGTATGTATGTGGAAACTAGCTAGGGGTAGCTTGGGTGGCAATATTGAAGTGCGTCTAGGTTACCAAGATTCGAAGAGAAAGATTGACATCTCGTTCCTGCATTGCTAAGGAAATCAGCATTCGTATGTATGTGTGTATATGTGTATATGTGTGTGAGTGTGATCATGCGGTTGACGGTTAACGGTTGAATAAGTGATATAGAGTCGTCACACGAACGATAACCGCATTAAACACCCAGATACAGTTGAGACTCTTGCCGATCTGTCACTTGGTATCCATATATGTGGCTTCGGATATCCACCCTGATAATGACTTGAGATTAATCCAACCCATGTCAATACAGCCAGATTCTGGTTCAGGCTCATAAGAACCCATGTTTTGATACCCCGATCTTTGCGGACTATCACCAATTGACCAGTCACAACGCCTTTCACAAAAAAATAAAAAAAGAGTTCCTCTTACTTTGTCTTGTATAATTATATGTAGCGTATCTCAGTAGGTATATACGAATTCCGCCCTTTGGGCGAGCCAGCCTTCCGAATAGTAAAAAGTCTAAAGTCTAGCCTTCGTCCCGTTTCGTGTCTTTGCTAGTCGACTTCAAGTCAAGTCAAAGTCAAAAGTCCTTCAATAATCTTTGTCCCTCGCTTCCTTCGCCGCTCCCTTACCTACCCGTCTTTCCTTCTGCATCATGTCTTCAGCCGAGCAACCACCTGATCCTGCAGCGGCAGCAGCAGCGGCTGCCGCCGCCGCCGCCGCCATGCTTCAGTTCACAATCGAGGCCTGGACGCTACTGTCAGTCGGTATTCTCGTGACCATACTTCGAACGTACGCCCGCATAAAAGCTGTAGGACTTAAGCATTTACAAGCCGACGACTATCTAGCTTGGGTTGGAGTGGTTAGTCTTTACTTATATTTCTCTCGTCGGAATGAGATCGTGTCCGTAACTAACCATCATCATCATCATCATATAGACCTTCTACGCCGTCGAGACTAGTCTGGCCTACTCGGTCGGTGCTGTTGCTCAAGGCTTGGCAAACAATGGTATGACGGACGAGCAACGTGCTACATTATCTCCAGACAGCCAAGAATATAAGACGAGGTGTGTAAAACTTATATGATGAAAAGGGAGAGAGGCGTGAATTAAACAAGATGTACTAATTATTTTCTTCAGGGTCACCGGCTCACAGATCCAACTCGCCGGATGGTCTTCCTACTCAGTGCTACTTTGGTCACTCAAGGCGTCACTATTGGTCTTCTACATGCGGTTGACGGTAAGGGCATATTTCTTATAGTTATTGTCATCTTAAACATTCATAGCTAAGTGTTAATCTAGGCTGGACTGAACCGAACCTATCTGATCCGTATCTACATTGGTTTTGGACTCCTCATCGCTAGCTTCATCGTCATCTTAATGAACTTATTCCTCGGATGCCGACCCTTCCACAGATACTGGCAAATATATCCTGACCCAGGAAGTATGTTGCCTCTTTCTAACTAACACTTATATGAAGCGATACTAACCCTACTCTCTAGATACCTGCCAACCAGCCGTATCTAACGAAGTTATCTGGGTGTACCTCTCGATGAATGTCTTAACCGATCTTTATCTGATTTCTATTCCTGTTCCCATGCTCTGGCAATCGAGTTTAAAGCCTGCGAAAAAGTTTGGCTTAATCGTTCTTTTCAGCGGCGGTTTATTTGTCGTCGCGTGTGCTATTCTTCGTTGTGCTCTCATCGTAACTGTAAGTCATTTAGCTGATATCTCATCTATGAGTACGTGGACTCATGAATATACATAGGATCCGGTCAACGGAGCTCAGCTCGCTGGATCGTGGGCTGTTCGGGAGACCTTCGTTGCCGTGGTCACGACTAACCTACCGATGGTCTTCCCTCTCATCAAGATGTGGCTTTCACCGGTTCTCGGCTCACTCATCACGACGGTGCGTTCGCAGCAAAAATTGACCGACAAGGAATCGAAAAGCGATCTTCGTACGTTTGGCGGTGGAAGTCATCAGAGCTGGCGACGACGCGGGCCCCCTACGGCGAACCCGATCACGAACTTTACATTTAACGAGAGCGAGGAACGAATAGTGGATGATGTGAAGATGCATGATCTGAAGGGTTGGACCGACACGAGCACTAACGGCAGCTCTCCGATTAGTAATAATCACAGTCACAATATCCACAAACACGTTGAAGTTGAGGTTGTTAGTGAAGTGCGTGACGAGAGAGACCAGACGGATAACCGACGTCCGGTCATTGGCGATGAAGAGAACCAGATCCACGGGAACTACTCTTTCGCCAGAGGCCCTCGAAGGTCAAGCTACACCGGCCACGGTCGTACGTAAAAAGAAAAAGAAAAAGATGAGATATAGAATAAGGGACGCGACACTAATACATTCCTGACGAACTCCCTCTTGGGCTGGCGCAAACGGGATAATGCAGGAGGACGTAATAGAAACGGAATACAAAAAGCCCCCCCCCCCCCCAAGTACTCGGGCATTCGGTTTGTTCTGGAGTTATATGGTGTGTATGTGTGTGTATATATTTGTATACAGAAACCCCGAACCCCCCAAAAAAGGTTTGTAGGGGATGGTTTAGTTATTCTCAGATCCGAAGCTCTGATCTGGCTGGGCAAGAAAGGGCAAAGGCGCTCCGACGAGCAAACACTTAGGGTTTCATTGTGGTCTTGGGGGAAATGTCTAAGGGAGGTTTTAAGGAAAGTAGTGTATAGTTTTTTTTTTTTTTACAGGATTCTAACAGAGGGCAATACCGACATTCAAATATGTGTCGTGTGGGGAGGAAGTGAACCCGGTGCCATAGTACTGGGAAGAGGATCTACATATTAGTACCGGTATTAGTACAAGAATATACAGAGTGATACCCATCAGTCAGTCTTCATTTGAATTTTAGTGAGTACACACAGATCATCTGTCCATAGCAAGCTTGATGATGGCTTTCAGCTCATCTCTTTCTAGGCCCTTGATACCTAACAAATCGTTATCCCGGACCGGGAAGTATCCGCCCCAGCCTTTGCCAATGAACGCCCTATTAATGAACATAGCGATCACCTCCTCGCTATGATCACCTTCTGCCCAACGTTGTAGGGCTTTGGTCTCCAGGTCCTCGGTTCTGGAATGAGTAATATCCCAGCCGTCACTAGCGCCCAGCTCTTTGGCTATGGCAATTAATTCGTTCTGGGTCGTGTTGACGCTAGAGATTCTCACGGGACGATTAGCCGTCTCTTCCAAGTGGGTCAATATACCAATTACGGCTTGTGCAATGTCGTCGTAGGTCGTAGCACAGAACAGTACGTCACCGCCATCCTTGATATCAGCCTTACGCTGCTTTACGTCCACGATGAAGTCCAAGGTCCAGTCCGGGCCAAGGAATGAAGCATTGTGAATCGTAGTCCACGAGAATGGCGGGTTCTCCATCACCTTTTGTTCGCAGCGCTGACGAATGGCGATCTTAGGCTTATAGATGGGGAAATCAGCTAGCTTGGGATTTAAGAGATCGTTGCCGTACTCAGAAGGAATCATTCTCTTTACGCCGGCCTTAGCCGCCGCGTCGACAAGATTCTTCTGCACGTGGATGGCTTCGAAGGCCATTGCGGAAACTAGCGCATCTTGTCCCTGAAGAGCAGACTCCAATGACTCAATAGAATCATAGTTTACCTCCTTGACGATGACGTCTGCAGGGAGTTCGCGCCGTCGACTCTCGTCACGCGTGAGAACAGTCACGTTGAAGAGTTTCGAAGATAGAAGACGATCCACGATTGGGCGGCCGATCTTCCCAGTTGCCTAATCAAATAAGTCAGCACCTATTTCGGGCAAATGGCAAGAGTGGAGTTAAACAGACCCCTACAACGGCGACATTCTTGATTGTAGTCATCGTGAAAAGAAAAAATTTGGGTCTTCGTAATATAGTGGATAAGTTGTGATGGGTACTGGGCTATGACTGTATGATGGACTCTATGATGTATGGGACTGTAGGGTCTGTAGGGTCTGTATGTATGTATAGGCTGTATGGGTAGATGCTCGTGGAGAATTTTATTCAGGATTCAGGATGCGGTTGGGACACTCGAATGTTTTCAACCGTATTTATGACCATATGTATGTCACAGCCACGTTGTATGTACATACATATATACATACATACATACATACATACACACGAGTTCCTATTCTACCGGTTCGAAGTGGAGAGAATCCTTAGGTCTTTCAGCCAGGCTTTCGGGAGAGATGGTGGCGTCCCAAGAGACCCAACAACCATCTCGCTGGAATTAGACTGTCTTATTTTAGTTGGCTTAATTGGACGCCCTGAAGCCCACTCGCGATACTGTTGGTTAAAAATCCACACCGGAAACTATATTTATTTCCCATGGCTTCGGAATCGGGTCGCTTTCATGGTCGATCCACTCTCATTTGCTTCTTCGTGTGTTCCAATAAACGCGCTAGAAGCTTTCCTATTACGGTGATGGCCTCATGTCTAGACCAGAAGGTACCAGCACATCAGCACATCAGCACATCATGAAACCCCTTGCCGCCCTCTGCAACTCTATTATCGCTAAAGAACCCAACCTGTCAGAGAAGCAGGGGTTGACTGGGGAAATCCGCCTAACAAGTGGTGGAAGCAAAAAGTGTGGCATAAAAAAGTTACGAAGCGGTTACGAAGCAAAAAGTAGCATCATTCTGGTGTGCTGTAAGTGTAAGTATGTGTGTGTGTGCCGTAGTACATTGTCGCAGTCTAGCAAGTCTAGTGTAGTAGTAGGAATTCCGGCAGTCCCATGCCGTCCCTTGAAATACCCTATAGGATATTAAGCTAAGAATGGGGAAAGCTGCAGGTTCAGCCGAAGGCCCTGTCAGAACCCTGAAGTCCCCTGCGTGGGCTTTATATATCCTTGTCAACTCCACCGTTCACCCCCTCCAACTTGACAACTGTACCTACTTTAGAGGTCAGGGAAGTTAACATCGACGAGAGAGTTCGGGCTGTAACAGCGGAATGGTGAGCAGTTCAATGTAACATACCGCTTCTTTCAGTGGATTCTCGAGCCATTCGCTGATCTTGACCTCTCGATTGGAACCAGCCCATGAAGAAATCCAGATTCAATAACTTTTCTTTCCCAATCTTTTATTTTCCTTTTTCCTTTTTCCGCGCCCCCCCTTTGCTGACTCGCATCCGGGAACGCCGCCTATTACCGCTGAATTGCTGCTGACTCTTTAATGGGCGCACTGGCTTCACCTTGGTCTGTCTCTCCGAGCTCTCGGTAACACCCCCCCAGACCGTGGCGTTTCTAAGCCTTAAATAGCTTAGCCTCGCGTGGTACATCCATCGTCTTCGTTATCTTCGGTCCGGGAGTGAGAATATCGTGCCAAGTGGACGGTATCGCTGAATATCAGTACTTGCGTATGTATGCACATCCCAACGAGATCTCCCTTTTTTTTTCTTCTTCATAGCAGAAAGCCACGTGGTCTCGGACATTTCGAGCTTCAGCCGCCTTATCATGTCGTGGAGATCGATAGAGAGCTTCGTAAGAGCACGAAAAACACTTCTTACGATATGTTCCCATTAGGAAAGCTCCTACTAGCTTCACGGCACACCTCGCCTATATGGAGGATTATGCCCCTTGTCTAGAGCAGAAAAAATGGTGACACCGATATGATTTAAACCCTGTTGACGTTGAGCCTTTTATCCTGCAAAAAAAAATAAAAATGAGACAACGAAAAAAAACTGACAACGGGGCGAACACAGGGTCTGGGGCTGAGTCGAACACAGGTCGCCGAACTCGTCTCTGGGTAGATCAACGCTCAGCCCAACTGGCGATAACTGCAAATGCAAGAAGACCCATCGATCACCCCAATAACCAGGAAATAGAATGCCCGCCAGTCTTACGTAGACACATAAGCAGAGAGAAAGAGCACATGAACATGACGTACTAATAGTAATGACTCGTATAATGAAATTTATACTCACAGACTTGCTGGCGTCCTGGGCGCTCTCGCTACCTCTCAAGACTAGCAATATCAGCCCCATTATCGTCCAGGAAAGCTATGACACTTCTCTCTTTTTTCTTTTCCCCATCAGCCGTGAGACCGATGGCCTGTTCCAGAAATGGTCAGAAAGGGTGGGGAGGAGAGATTTCTTCATCGCTTTTCCCTTCTCCGGCCGGCAACGGTACTTTCCCAGAACATACACTTGTACCGCCTGTGCATTTATCCCTTGTGACAAGCATTCCATTGGGCATGCCATGTCAGTGACGAGGTTGTTGCGGGGCAAGCTGATTGGATGCACCCTTTATGGACAATTGCCTGATTGGTTAAAGAGAAAAGTTTCTACCGAGTTGATAATCTGGCTAACAAAACCCGTGGACGATTGAATATGCGTGCGTATCGGTGGCCAAGATGGTTTATGGATCCCCTTGCCGCCCCAAAAAGTACTCGTATGAAAAGCCTCGACGCTGGGCATCATCGGGCTTTGGATGGACGAGCATGTCCTCCCTCATTTGTCACGGTCTGGGTCCAACCAGCAGCACTGGCCAGACGCCCCCGAGAGTATAAGTAAGCTCTCTGCCTACTCCGCTCCCCATCTTTCTCCTCCTGCAGTGTGACATGCAACAGATAGTATCTGTAAATTCCCATCTCTTCAACAGTTCGTCATGGCTTTCTCGTTGCTCCTAGCTGCCTTCGGCTTTATCGTCTTCTCTCTGTTCTCGATAGTCCAGTGGCTTTTAACATGTCGACGTCGGAGTCATATGAAGAGACAGAACGGCTGTCTGCCTCCTAAGAAGCTGCCTCAGCTAGACCCCATCATGGGGACTGACGTCGTCATGCAGAACCTCGGGGCAGCACAGAACCACGGCTTCCTCGACCTTCTCAGGACTCGACATGCCGCCAATGGCCTCACCTTCACCACGAACACCTACTTGCGGACCACCATCAACACGTGCGACCCAACGCTCATCCAGAATGTTCTATCGTTCCAGTTCCAGGACTTCGGTATGGGGCCGTTACGACGGAAGAGTGCTTCTCCACTCTTAGGACGAGGTATCTTCACTACGGACGACGAGATCTGGGCTCACCAGCGTGCTCTGATCCGGCCAAGCTTCGTTCGAGCCCAGGTTACGGACTTTAGCATCTTCGGCCACCACGTAGATCAGCTCATCGCTCTCATCGCACGCCGTAACAACGAGGTAGACCTCCAGCAACTATTCTTCCGTATGGTACGTGGACTCATTACTCCTTTTTTCCATATTCGGTAACTAACACCGCTTGACAGGTACTCGACTCCAACAGTGAATACATGTTCGGAGAGTCCGTTGGTCTGATGTCAGAGAACGCATCTGAAGCTGCCACCACGTTTCACCACGCGCTTGATTACGCTCAGCAGGGTACTATCTTACGTCTACGCCTCGGAAATCTCATGTTCACCCACAGGGACAAGAAGTTCCGGGACTCCTGCGGTACCGTCCACGCGTATGCTGACAAGTTCGTTGCGCAAGCTCTCGAATACCGACGTAAGCAATCCATGCTTCCGTCTGAGAAGAGAGACAAGGATGAAGGTGTTCGCCAAAAATATGTCTTCCTGAACGAGCTCGCCAAGGATACCGAAGATCCAATCATGCTCCGAGACCAAATCGTGAACATGCTCTTGGCCGCCCGTGATACCACCGCTGGTTTACTCGCTTTCGTCTTCTTCATGTTAGCCCGAAGGCCTGACGTATGGGATAAGCTTCGGGCTGACGTTTTGGAACACTACTGCGAACCTTTGACGTACGAAGCCCTTATGGATATGAAGTACCTTCGATATGTGATACATGAGAGTAAGCAATCGATCAATCCATTTGTTTTTGCGTAGCTAACATTCTTGTTTCAGCTCTTCGTCTTTTCCCACCTATCGCGACAAATAGCCGCATGGCTAATAAGGATACTGTTCTTCCCGTCGGTGGTGGCCCTGATGGAAAATCACCCCTTTTCGTTGCCAAGCACCACGTTGTCACCTATAGTACCTTTGTGATGCACAGGCGGAAGGAATTCTTCGGTGAAGATGCCGAAGAGTTCCGACCGGAGAGATGGGAGAATCTTCGTCCCGGTTGGGAATTCTTACCCTTTAATGGAGGTCCTAGAATCTGCCCGGGCCAGAAGTTTGCCTTGACCGAGTCATCATATACGATCGCGCGTCTACTTCACGCATTCTCCAGAATCGAGAATCTAGATCCGACCGACTGGAGAGAACAGCTAACGTTATCATTGACGCTCAACAATGGTGTACAATGCCGCCTGACCCCATCGGAATAAGGCTCCAATATTTACTTTTCCTTGGTTCACTTTTATACCACGAAATGTCTTACGACAGGGCTGTTGCCTCCTTGATGACCGGGGATAGGGGGGGCGGCTATGGTGTCGGAATACATAAAATGGGAGACTTGGGTGGGGTTGATCTTTACAGCTTTCTAATTAGACTGCATTGTGTGGTTTACATAGTGTAATATCTTTTTGTATTCGGGGTATGAGAGGGATGGTTTTTAACTTTTTTCTTTGTACTCTCGGTTAGATACTTGACCTCGCGATCAAATGGTGGATGGGATTTCCCTCGTTAATCAATTGTTATTGGTTGATGAGAGAACTGAAACGAAGTATTTAAAGTTTTGATTGTGATTTATGAAACGTGATATGATGGAATGATGTAAAGGTTAAGTGCCACAACTTGAAAGCATAGGTAAAGGCATTTCGGAAGTGTTGATAAGGCTATTAAAGGTACCTTAGTCATCAAGTTGACCACGTATTGGAGCTTAAAGCATAAAAGTTGAGTTTAAAAAATAGTCGCTAGCCTGACGTCGACTTATATAAAAACTCCTCGCTGGCCAAGCCTCCGAGTAGCACCAAGAATGGGGCGTGACCAACCTGCGGCCTTAAGAATTATCAAGGTTGAACCCTGAGCAGCGCATGAAATATGTTGATCATTAAGAGCCAATGGAACGGTTATCCATGCATGGCTTACGCATCGACCGTATAGCAACGTCGGGATTTGTTATTAGTACGACGAAGCCGGGAAGCCGGCTAGCAAGCATAAAACAAGTGGTGAGACGAACATGAGCCAACGTGCTTGACCGGTGATTTCAATACGGTGTCCTTTAAGTGAGACTATTTGATCTTTGTGGATATGGAGTAATAAAAGTCATGGTTGTCAAATCTCCTAGTGGTGAATATTTCCCGATATGAGACAGTCTTGTCCAAATATTTATATTAATTACTTTTGATAGAGTGTAAAGTCCGAACCGATACACTCCAATATAAAAGGCTATATAGATGCATGGAGGCCCCTCTAAGTAACTAACTAACTCGTGTATGTGTATATCTACTGTCTATATGCACCTAACTATCACCTCGCATAGCATCCATATCAGATAATCTATCGTCTTTAGTTATTTTAATTCAAATAATAATTCAACTTTCTTATCTAGGGGTTAGCAAGTGCTACACCTCCTCGGTTACACTGCCCTTAGAAAAGTAAACCTTGAAATATACACCATCCCCCCTCGGATGCTGAATTTAAAGAGACAATTTCCGAATAGATAAAGTGACAATATAAAGTTAGTTATATCAAATAGGTTGTCGAAGCAGTTTATTAATAAAGTCGCACAGTGCCTTTTTATAAGACAGGGGATCACCCTTTCGCCACCTAAAAAGGTATATAAAGTCAACAACACTAAAGACTGAAGAATCTCACGATACCTATAGGATAGTTATAGATGATTGAAACTTATCACCCATGTCTATTTTTCGTAAAAACCTTGGCCAAGATCAATGTACTAGCTATTATAAGCGTTATAATTAAAAAATCCTTAAATATCATTTGTCGAAATGTACGACTAGCATTAGCACGGGGGCGTAGTTATATCGCAACGCCACGTCACGCTAGCTTTTCATACATACATGAGATCTGATAAAAAAGCTTATCTGTTAAGGTTAGTCGTTTTAACACTAGTAGTTGGTGCGGTGCGGCTTAAAACAAGGTCAAGGATGCACGATCCCAGAAAAAAGGCTGCTGTTGGTTCTTATTCCCTGGATCGATCGGTCTACTTTCACCTAAGGCACGTGGCATCGTTGCATGCCACCCTTACAGCCTTAAGACCCACTATCATTGATATATAATGCAACGCACCATTAGTTAATCCCCATGTTAGAGCTAGCCATACGGCGTGGGTGCGGCGTTGGCAATTAATTATATCAGGTATCTATTAAGTTCGTGGGTAAAGCCCAATTAAGAGCCTCAATTTTCTCTTTGACGACCTGTCATCCAAGAATCGGTGCCGTCATCATCTCCAACTTCTCTTGTGGGGCTGTTAAGATTTACTATATCCAGAACAGGCTTATCTTATTGATATGTATCCAACAGCGATGTCTATAAGATCATTTCGATATATTTTAGAGATAACGTTTTAATTATTAGATAAGTAGAGTATTCAACCCCCTTTCAGCTAAAATGGTTAGCTGCAAGGGGGAAGTTTGTACTACCCTACTAATCAAGTAGAGTGAAGCCGGTTCTCGAACGCTTGAGTAATAGAAAAAAGTAGTTTAGCATACCATCTTTTCTCAGTGACGTTAAACTAATATCCTAACATCTATGAGTAGGGTTTAGTGACACTGCGTCTCGTAAAAGTCCTCGGCGGGGTCGAGCCTCGGGAATAAAAAAGACTGATAGTATCTAAGTACCTAGGCAGATGAACTATTACAATACAGTCACCCATATTATATAAGGAGCGGGGAAATATGAAGTACTATCATGGCTTTTCTAATACGAACTGTGCAAGAAAGAAGACAAAATAGATTTTGATAAGACGACATAGCTATAAATACTCAAAAGGCTAAGTAGGATAGGTACCTAAAGTATAGGCATATGATAATTCATGTATACGAAAGTGGTTTGAATACGATACCTAAATTAGATTCATCTCGGCAGCATAAGAAATCAGGGCTTGAATGTCTAACTGCACGAGTCACATGAACATAGCAACTACGGCAGCCTGGGTGGTGGCATATGACCTTCAACTTCAAACATCCCATCACAAAAAGCCTGGTGGTGCAGTGGGAGCACGTTCCATCATTACGCGCTTCTGATAAAATCAGATGAGAGGTCGAGGTTGGAAAGACGTGGGTTCAAATCCCACCTAGGCTAATTCTTTTTTTTCCCCTTTTCACTGTTTCTCCTTTTCTTCACAGCTCATATTCTCACCTTGATATTAATATAAGGTGTATCACTGATACTTTAAAAGCGTGTCTTGGGAGGATCGGTGTAAATTATTAGTTATTAATTGGCTACTATAATTATTGCCTCCTTTGATGAACAGATACTTAGATGACATGCTGTCCATTCTTGACAGCCTCTATTTCCGGACATATCTTTATTAATATTTGGTAGGCGCCCTTTCTAGGGGGATGGGGTAGGTTTGGAAGAGGAACTAGGTAGTATTTAAGGAGACGGTCACATTCTTAATAAGAGTATGTCTATTGTCACATCACACAGCAGGCGAAATGTTTATGATCAATTCGATGCGCTCTTTATTGAATTATAACCCTGTAACGCCCGTATCTAGTTGAAGCACCAGTCAACACTCTTGCCTGCTCAGTCTACTTGACCGGGTAAATACCTTATCGTTACCCAGTCCAATGCAATCTCATCCCTAATTCACCCCAGACTTTAAGCCTCCGTCATGCGCTTCTTCGCTAAGCCGCCCAACTTCTCGGCAGCCGCAGCCAGAGAGCGGGGGTCGGCGCCACGAATCGCAGCCTGTCCGTTTACAGCGACTTGGCGGCCCTCCTTGAAGAAGAGGAAGGTAGGCATGGCGGTAACACCGAACGCGCGCGCGGCATCCTGCGCGGTGTCCACGTTCACCTTGGCGAAAGCAAGGAAGCCCGGGACGCCGTGCTGCTTGGCAAGCGATTCGTAGTGCGGCGCGATGACCTTGCACGGCCCGCACCAGTCCGCGTAGAAGTCGACTGCTACGTATGTAGTTGACGCGAAGAGCGACTGCAGCTCAGCGAGCGAGTTGATGTGGTGTAGATTTTCGCCGCCCATTTTTAGCTTTTTATGCGTAGTTGTTATGAGATCTCGTTGGCTTCGTTTTTAGGCCGTTTGTAACAACTTTGACAAATGTCGCTAGATAAATATGGACTTGATTTTTGGTGATGAAAAAAGCTGTCAGGCAAATAAATATCTTGATCAACGAATAGATCCGAAATAATATGCAAAGGGGGATGTGTGGCTGTGAAAAGTTATTGTTGAAGTAATGGGGAAGGCAGTGTTAAATGCGAGCATCTTTGAGAAGATTCCATGATATGCTTACTAAGTGAATACTTATCTCTTATGCAATATGCAGTAGAAAGCACGTGATACCCTTTGCCTTCACAAACCCCTTTACATTTGGAGCAAATTTCCCTTGATTTTCTTTTGATATTCGCTAGGAGCAAGATGCAACAGGATCACAAAAGCATATACATCATTCCTAGAGAGAGTATTTTAAAACTTTGAAAACTTCTTAGAAAAGAAGGATAGGAAAGAGCCGGGCAAGAAAGGGGCTCCAATAGGGAAGACTAAGAAAAAAAGTGAGGATCCTATGGAAGACTTGTTAGCACATTCTCTATCCAGTGAAGGTTAAATCATATGGTAAATTATAGTAAGTCAGAATATACCTCACAAACTGTCATCAGCAAGTTGTCGTTGAATCTTTGGTCAGATTACATTCCTTTTTAATCATCCCTACACAAGTATCGAATTTTTTCTCACGCCTGGGGTTGAACCTGGGGGTTTGCATACTTACTTTTCTTTGAATTCATCGCATATTACCACTGAGCCGTTGTTGTGGTGCTAGACAATCCGCTTTTTGGAATACATATGCTTCTCTGCAGCGTGGATGTGACAAACTGGTACAATAATCGTCCTGGCGATAGATATACTTTGATACAAGTAATGGCCAGATCAACAACTTCCTCATGAGGGATATTTATTAAGTTAGGTGCCCAATTTTTGATAACAGTCCTAGTAGCTGGCATTTAAGGATTGTATGTTAAACATTATTGATTTTATATTATTGTTAAATTTTAACAAATTTAACATGATTTTTAATCTACGGTTAGTACAAGAGCTATAATGCTGTCTGGCAGTCTGCCAATATTATAACTCGATGCCTACATCCAGTTAGATAGTCTGTTTCTTTACTTCTTTACCTGCCAGGGGGTGACTCATGTCATACACAGAGTGAGTGTCTAGGATAGGTAGACCAAAAGGTATAGTATATTGATCTAGTAACGCCTGGCTTCTACTCTCTTTCGAGGGCGCTACGCGCCCCTTATATAGTAGATGGACCCCTGTAGGCCTCCTTACCCACTTATACCCTGACAGTACCCAATGAATTTAAATAAGACATTGTAGCTTAGTGCAAGAATCTGATATTCTAGAAAACCTAGAACATCATCTTCAATAGATGACAGCTTTAGCTTCAACCTTGTGATATTTAAAGTCCCTAATTACGTTACTCATTTTTACAAGTTTAAAATCATTTTATTTCACGTTAAAACACCTCAATGTATCTTAACAACCTATCCGGCTATTTGAGATTTCGTATATAAGTGATTTCATTAGCAACTACAACAAATCCAAGTTAGATTCAAGTAAAGTAGTTCACAGTGGGCTTTAGTGGTAGGTAATCTTGTAAGCGCCCCCAATTATAGAGTCTCAATACATAGGAAATTTGTGACCATCGAAGAATCGATAAAGGGTTTCCAATATCTCATAAAAATTTCCAAGCCTAATACTTGCTTACTATTACAACCTGGTATATATCAAAGGCTACGGCCTCATAGACGTTGTAGCTGATGTAACCATGAACCATCCATTTTCTGATACCTGCTTAATGTGATTCGTAGCAATGATACTGCTGGTCAGCCCTGCATATGCATACTACACAGGGCAGAACGTGACGGCGATGTACGTATCCCATAAGGGATCCATGGCAACCCCTCATTTGTAATATGTGGAAATTCTATTAATTCCTCTATCCTTCATTTCATTTCGCTTCATGAATGAATAGTAATCATGGACCCTGGAACTGCACTAGGTGCGGTTTCCCTGGCATTTCAGATTTTTGCTGGCTGCATGAAAGGCTGTCAGCTTCTATTAGAAGCCAGGGATTTCCCGCAAGAATATGGGTACCTCCGACATCGCCTTCATCTTGAACAGCTTAAACTACTGGATTGGTGGAACGCCTCGGGCTTTACGGTTGAAGCTACACTCCAAGATCCTCAGTTAGACGAGAGAAGGCAGGCTACTGTCAACTCACTAATCGAAATAAGGTCTCTTACACTTGAGATCAATCAGATCAAGGAACGATATGACCTCGCTTTGGGAGTTGTAGATGTTAATCAGGAGGATTTCGCCTCGGAACCAGCAAGATTGCTTCCGTTTAGTGTGCGTTTGTACAGCACAAGTTTTACTTGCATTTTAAACTAACTAGTGTCTGTTAGCAGTCTCTACAAGTACCGGGTAAGAGAGAGAAACTACGCCGAAAGTCCATTCGATATGCCGACACAGTCCTAAAGTACCCCAAAAGATTGCGTTGGGTCGCATTCCATGCAGATAAGTTCGAGAAACTACTAGCCAGAATTTCTGAGCTGAATAGTTCAATGCATTTCAGCCTCGAATTAGAGCAAAGGCGTCAATATATCCAACTTCAAGAGACTACCCAGGTACAAGTCCTCAGGGCACACGACAAGTTGGATCAGGTTATTGAGCTTATTCGCTCGCTCTACCTGCCTCTACGTCACGGTCCGGAGGGGTTGCGGCAAGACTCTGACGAGAATATGTTCAATGGCTTGGAGCGACTAGCTCGTTTTAAGGCTCTCAGTATAACGGTTGCTGGCGGCGATTTATCTTGTGAGAATGGCATAGCAGCGCAGGTTGGGGTTAGAGTCCCATTGCTTGATGGTCTGAAGTTGGCTGTGTCCCAACTTAAGTTTTTGGGTAATCAGGAAGAGAACGATTCCCAACGAGTTTTGGGAACGTTTGATGCTACTTCTGTGTGGATAGAGTGGAAGAACTACGATCCTGAAAGCACAACGTTAGCATGTCGCTTTATTGAAAATCGGATTGCGCGCCTCACTGCACTGCTTCTTAAAAATCCAGAGAATCCCGAACGGCTTCAACTTCCAGCTTCTCTCGGATATGTTCATGATCCAGATTCGACGCGATTTGGACTTGTATTCGAATCTCCTGTCTCAACAGACACGTTGGGTTCCCGGTCTCTCTATGCAAGGTTACAAACTACCTTAAAGCCCTCTTTAACTACCAGATTAGACATAGCACGAAGACTGACGACGAGCTTGAAATATCTCCATGTATCGAGATGGCTCCATAAAGGCCTACGAAGCGATAATATCCTGTTCCTTACACCTTCTTATACGAGCTGGACACCTTTCTGCCTTTCTGGGTTCGATTATTCTCGTCCGGCAGACCCTGATGAAGCAACAGAACTTCCGACCGACCGTAGGGAACATGATTTATATCGGCATCCAGATGTTCAGTTCGATGTCCCCCGAGATGGAGAATACGGATACGAAGAAAAGCACGACGTGTACAGCCTTGGGGTGATTTTAATGGAAATTGGATTATGGCAGCCTATTCACCAGTTCCTTGGGCTTTCTTTGAATCAGCTTATCCCACGTCCAGCTATAAGACGGGCTCGTATTAGTCTCTTAAAAGCCGAATCCCTTACTATTCTTGAGTCAGAGGCCGGTGCAAGATTTTCGGAAGCCGTCCGGCTGTGTTTAGCTGGCGATATTAGACAGCCACCAGGCGAAATTAGGAGTCCAGGAATGGCCGAGGAAATAGATCATCCAGCATTTGACTCAATAGATTGCCTGAGAAAAGTTGAGGAGATTTTGCAAGGGATTACAGTATAAACACAATATTAAGTAAAATAGAATCTATTTAATAGATAACGCCGCATCACAACCTTCTAACCGCCCAATGTACTCTGGATCGTATCGGATGTTATCCCTCCCAATCCTGAAGAAAACGGGGATACTATATGATTTTATAGACATTAACTAATGCATAGTCGTTACTAACCACTCGTTAGTGAGAAGATAACAAACAATAGAGACGACTAACCTGATAGACGTATCATCAAGGTATCGCAATACAGCTATGCCGTATCTTACCACCACATATGCTGTGAAAGCCATCTTCCTTTGATTGTTTCCCAGAGATTCGGTGTATGTTTTGAAATGCCGTTCTTGGACGGTATGCATATTCCTCCACCATATGCTTTATTGAACGTAGAATGCGACAGACCCTGCCTTCGATAGCTACGTGTACTTTGACAAGTACTACAAGCTAAACTTGCGATAGATTTGAAGTCTTCCGTGCCTAGCAGGTGGAGCAACTGTTCCATTGTTATCCTTTTCTTCTGCTTGGGGTCAAGCATAAGGAATGTCAGCTGCACTATCTTTTGGATGTGCGGCGCAACGTTGGGGTTCAATCCAGGCGACGCCAAGAGTAGAAGCATCCAATCGAACACGTAGTAAGGGGTATCGCAGAATAGTATATGCCGACCGTGCTGACGGAGATGTTCGTTCAGTTCCTCAATGGTATTTCCCGATGCAACGGTGCAAATCTCTAGTACAGTGCAACCCAACGCCCAAACGTCTGTGGCCCTACCGCGACGTTCATCACAATCAATCTCGGGAGCCATGTAACGCTCAGTACGTTCGGGATCTTGACTTTTGGTCTTAGATGTGGTAGCATCACGGAAGTTTCTTGAGATTCCAAAATCCGCAACATAGATTTGATCACCCTTAATAAGGATATTGCTGGGTTTTATATCCTTGTGACGGATCTTTTCTCTGTGTAGATAGCCTAAGGCATCGAATAGGCATACGACCCATTTGCACATGATTCCGCGGTTGCTATCCTGCGTGTCCTGTCCCCTCCCTGCCTCTATCTGCCCAAAAAATTCCTTGAGGTTCTTTTCAGCAACCGGGCGTATGAGAAGTCCAAAAAGCCCTGTATTTTCGATATAATGATAACCATGACATTTGACGATGTGGTGATGACGGGCCTTTGTGATAGTAGAGGCCTCTTCCTTGATCATCTTGACCAACTTATCGTTGCCATGATTCCACTGAATATATTCTTTGCGGGCATATACCTTTCCCGACGTATCGTCCTTGACCTTGGAGACGCTCCGGCCTTTGAGATTTTCTTTCATTAGTACTTGATCCTGGATGAACGGATCGGTCTTAAACAAGTCAAACCCGGCCTGCTTAGCCAGGGAGCGTGCTGACTGTGACCTTGTAGAACTTCGCTCAGTCATGATATATTATTTTCAATAAATATATTTCAAACACCGTCTAAGGAATAAACCTGTAAGTGTATTGGTTCGGATCATGCGCCTTTTGCATGCCCGGAACAAACTAGAGAGAAGCCACCCATATATATTAGGTACCTATCCATCTAATACCTGATAGAAAGGGGGGTTCAAAGTCTTCGTGTAGAACAAGCATATCAAGTAATTGGATAATTCTACAAATCCATTTTATAACATGGCCTTAATTGGTCTGTTTTATTAACATGGTCTTAACTTCCACGTGAAGCTCCTGGCACCAACTTAAAGGTGACGTACATGCAAACTACTAGGGCGAAACAACTAAATCCTAGGTAACAATCACCCCTTTCTTATATGTCATGAGGTGGGGCTACGAGGTATACATACATACCTCTGAATATGTCCTTTGTTCTAGATGTCTTATCTAGAATGCTAGCAGGAACCAGAAGCGATATCCGCTACCTGTAGAGATCGCTTAATATAGTAGCTTAGTTTCGTGACAAATGCGCACTGATAATAGATCCTCCTCCTAGTAACTTACCCAATACAACTTATAGTGCGTCTTTAAAATGTTAGATGATTTATGGTGTAGGTTTGGTTCGGACCAACGATATAGGTGCCCATATGAATGTGTTGAAACGCGCACTCTACCAATCAAGACGATATGAGTAAAAAATTACATGAAGGGCTAGATCTAAACCGCTGAATAAAACGGCATCTCAGAGATAAAAGGGGGTGTTGATTAAGGAAGTGGCCAATAATGTCATACGATCGAGCCTTGGAAGCCAGACTGAATACGGAGTCGATGAGATATAAATAGACCTAGGTAACGTTGCTTATTTTTCGTAACGCTCAAGCAGCGTACAAACTACCGTATTCCCCTACAGAGCCAGTAGCCAATCATATTTAAACACAATAGAACCAAACCTCGTTCCTGTTTGTAGAATGATAGGTAAAAAGATGTTGTATTAGAAATATCCAAAACTCCACGTGAAAATCTTACATGTGGATTTATCCCTTGTTCCTTCCCACACACGGTTAAACTCTCTCAGCCACACAAACATCTAACTTCTATATATCTCTCGGCGGAAGTCGATCTTCTTCATCTCTCATATCCACTTCCACATGTTCAAGACAGGGTCGAAAATTCATAGCTTAAGTAATCTTTGATCAAAGGTCAACTATTTATTATTTCAATTCTCCTTACGTAGCACAATTATACTGAAACTCGCTATCACTCATATATCATATAGATACGGGATTGTACTATTGCGACCTAAAAACGACACCACCCTTGTATAAATAATCACAACTCCATTCATGTGGTTGACAGATACTAGGTTGCTTTACCATCATCTTTTAGAATTTTAGTCGGTGATACACGGCAAGTTCCCATGTCTTTAGTAAAGATTATACCTACCCGTCGACATAAAAAGGACGCACGAGGGATTAATTGCATAGCCCTAATTCCAAATGCATAAGGTGAGAGGTATGCTCCTATTAACTAACAGCACGTTCTAAACTAGAATACTTGGTGTAGGCCTGAGCTAATAGCTGATGACTATTGGTGAACCCATTTCTGTACAATCTTCGCTCTACAAGCCATTTGCATTGACAGAAACTTGAGTATTTCTTATTTATGTAACAAACTATACGATCCAACATGAACTTTACCAAGACGACCGAGTTTCATCAAAATCAACGACGGGATAATGGCACGCATGGTATCCCTTTCCAGCCTCAGTGTGACCTATCCTCGAGCGACAGCACTAGTATCTCTTCAATAAGTGATGATACAATGGAAACCAGCCTATCAACACAGAGTCCTCAAATATGGGGTGCAGAGCCTGACCTGATTGAAAGGGATCGAGAAGATGTAATCATTGCAGTCATAGGCAAGACCGGATGCGGTAAATCCAAGTTCATCTCGAAATTCAGCACAAGGGATTCTGCCGATGTGCCTGGACATAATATCAGTACCGGTTAGTCCATCATCCTATTATAGAGGCTGATATTCGTTAATTATGGTATAGGACCTTGTTTTGCCATAGAGGTAGAACATATGATCCCAGGATATAGATTATTATTAATTGACACTCCGGGTTTCAATGATACGGTCAACGAAAACATAGCAGTTCTCAAGCGCATTAGAAAATGGCTGAAGATCTCACATCATGGCAAGTCATTGTCTGGGCTCATTTACGCGCGCGACATCAAAGATGAGCCAATAAGACTATCCTCCATAGAGTACTTTAAGTACATCAGAAAGATTACCGGGGGGGATATGAGCAATGTTATATTGCTGACGACGAAGTGGGATAGTCTTGGAGCCAACCAGCACGAAGGCGACTCTCGAGAAGCCGATCTTCGTGAGAAATCCAACTTCTGGAAAGGTATGATAGCAGACGGTGCAAATATTATGAGACACGATGACACGCCCGAGTCAGCCGAGAGAGTCATCTATAAACTCCTAGACAAGCAAGTTTCCAGTACAAGCGCCCATGAAGAGGTGATCAAATTACGACGAAGGCTCAAAGAGTTAGCTGAAGCTAAGCAAGAAGGTAAATGAAGAAAATACATGAAAAGTGATATTAACTAACATAATAATTTCTTTTAAAGAATACATATCACTTCGAACCCAATTCCAGGAGAACTTGATCGAAATTAAGGAGGATCATGAGCAACAATTGAAGCGTTGGGAGGTGAAATCCCAAGACCAACAGAATGAGTTGGAAAAACAGAAGGTCGTGACTACGGTAGCGGTTGCAGTCGCGGTCATTGCAATCGTAGTGGCCCTATGGATGTGATAAAATGGAAAAAGTTCGGAGTAACCAGAGATTGTGATAACTTCGTATATCAGCAGGATGATGAGGTAGTTGTATAAAGTATCGGGAAAGATACCAATTACTTAGGTACCTACCTATGAAAGGTCATGATGGAGTTTCAATTCGGTAGACAAAATTGCATAATGAACATATTTCTTCAGTTAGATAGGTATATCCATAGAGACGGCGTTTATAGCATTACACATGTTTAACACTTGAATAGAGCGATGCCGGACTTAATGATCAATATGATTCTATTGTACCATGTCTAAATAGAAAGGAGATATTACCAAACCCCAAATGCATACATAGAAACGTCTAAGTCGAAGCCAATAAGCCAAGGCCCCATCCATATATCCAAAGTCATATCTCATACACGCCTTCCCCTTAAGTCATAAACACCCGTGAACCATGAACAGCGTAGCCCCCCCTTTTCACACATCCCTCCCTCCCTTCCTCCCTCGTATCCACATCTACATCACTCCGTCATAGCATTCCTCTTCGCACTAGCCTCCGCCGTCAACATCAGACTCTTCGGCGCGTCCTCGCGCGGCATATACAGCTCGACGAACCGCAGGCCCTTCCTCTCGTTGAAGTCCTTATCGGCGAGCAGGTCCTCGAGCTCGCCGCGGGTGCGCACGGCGTACGACCGCGCCGTCTCCTCCGTCGCGCCGAACACCGCCGGCAGGTCCTTGTACCGCCACTCCACGATGTCGTTGTACGACGCGTCCATCCCGTGGATGAACCGCTCGATCGTGTACCCGTCGTTGCAGATCACGAAGATGATCACGTTCAGCTGGTGGCGGAGCATCGTGCTGATTTCCTGCACCGTCAGCTGCAGGCTGCCGTCGCCTTCGAACAGGATCGTTCGCCGGGCTTTGTCTAGACCCTCGATATCTTGCGTTGCTAGCGCGGCGCCCTGGCATGCGCCGACCGCCCAGCCGATGCTGCCCCAGAACGTCTGGTTGAGCGCCGTCACGTCTGCCGGGAACCGCGTCTCCCACACGCCGAAGTTGGCCGTGCCGGTTTCTGTGACGACGATGTCGCCTTCCCGGAGGAACCGGTCGATGCGCGACCAGAAGAATTCTTGCTTGATGACGGCGTTGACGTCGGGCGTCACGGGAGGAGACTCGAACTTGGGTGCCGGGAGGGCCTTGACTTGTGCTACGTCGAGGCGGTCGACGATCTTGCGTAGGACGCCCTTCATCCGCACGCCGGGGTACTCTGAGTATCGCACGATGCAGTGGTCGCTGTGCAGGTCAATGGACGTCAGCTGGGATAGACGGTAAGAAAATCCGGCGGTGTTGAAATCGCTCTTAAGCGCGCCGACGGAGATGACGAGGTCAGAGCCTTCGACCATTTCCTTGACGGCTGGGGCAGAGGCAGTTCCCGCATAGACGCCGCCGTAGCTGGGATGCGTCTCGTTTATGCCACTCTTGCCCATGGGAGTGACGAATACGGGTAAATTAGTCTTCTCGATAAGTTCGTGGACCTCGTCGAGGACACGGTGACGGATGGCACAAGCGTCGACTAGGATGACAGGTCGCTCAGCGGCGTGTAGATACTTGAGAATGACATCCACGACGTAGTCTTCCCGATCCGGGTCGTTAGCAGGTTCGGTCAGATCGATTTCAGTCTCGAGACGCTCGCCCTCGATCTTCTTCTCAACCATATCGGTGGGGAACATGATATAAACGGGGCGAGAGCGCAAGTAACATTCTCGTAGGGTATGGTCAATCTGACCAGCGATCTCAGCCGGATCATTGAGCTTAGCGACGGCGCAAGAGATGGAAGCGCTCATGTCGGCAAAGGCGTTGAAGTTGCCATTTCCTAGGGTGTGGTGCAGCAGTAGACCGCTGCGTTGAGAAACGGTAGACGGACACCCGACGATGTGAACAATGGGAACGTGTTCGCTATAAGCGCCGGCGATACCGTTGACAGCGGACAGCTCGCCTACACCAAAAGTGGTGACGATAGCGCTGATGCCCTTCACACGGGCGTAACCGTCGGCAGCATACGCGGCATTTAACTCATTGCAGTTGCCGACCCATTTAAGCCCGGCCTTGGGTAGATAGTCAAGGGCGACAAGGTTGAAGTCACCTGGAAGTCCGTGGACAGATTTGATTCCGATCTGGCGGAGCCTCGTGAAGAGGTACTCAGCCACGTCAACGGGCTTTTTGAGATTTTTCGTTCTGATATCCTCGCTAGTCATCGTGAGGAATCTTTCACTTTTCTTTCTCTCAGTTATAAGAGTTGAAAAAAAGATGATATATTGTTGGCGATTAATAAATCTAACAAGTTTGTTGTGTAAGGTATAAGTGGCGTAGAAGTGTTGGGATTATATAACAAGTAATGTGTATATAATAATAAGTTGAGGGGTAAAATAGGAGAGTTATATGTAGATGGAGATGGAGATGGAGATGTATAGTGTAAGTAGTCTGAAAGCTGATTTGACAATGGCTCGGAAGCTTAGGAATACACTACACTCTATGAGGGTTTGATATTGTTGTTAGTCGGATATGATTCAGTTTGAGTAGAATAAAGAGAAATTTCTCAGTCAGCCTCAAGGGAAAGGGACTTCAGCTAAATAGTAAATATCTCAGCCTCTTACCGTTGTCGCAGTGCAGGATACGAAAATCTAAAAAGGAGTTGGGCTAAGGAATCGTACGGCGGTTGTATGCATCGCCTGTTCTTGACAATATCGGGCCTTGTTACAGTGGATCATGGTGCATCTTCGGCGTCTCGCGATGATCAGGCGATGATGCAATGGATATCGAGTTTTTTTGCTTGATTTTTTTCTTATTAATTTTTTTTTTGCCCTTATGTCGGTCAGGGAATATACATGTGAATTCGTTATGATTGCATACAAACTCCAAGTCTCATCTTTGCATTGACTTTTTCTTAAGACCTTAAGATTACACGACGATATAATTCAATTTCAATCATTATCGACCTACCCTAACTCTACCTCACTCACTCACTCAGCTCATTGTACGACCATACCAGTAAAAAGTATCCATTTCTCTAATAATAAACCAATCGGCCGAACCCGGTTTGCTTTCGATGAGCCCCGGCTAGCCTGGCCGCCGGTCTGGAACGGCCCAGTAGTATTTACTGCGCATCATAATTGTCGATCTTTTTTTGGATAATGATAAGAAAACCGGTCAACTCCAGCTGGATAATACCGATTGGATTCAATTTTGAAGACCAAGAAAATAATAAAAAATAAAAAATAAAAAAAGTATTTTGAAAAGTGAAGTCGTCTATCTTTCAATTCGAGAACGCGACGCTCGCTTTCATCAGTCATTCCCTTCTATCGTGACATTGGTATTGTACATTGATAATACAAGTCAATAAATTCCCTCGCAGATCAACTTCAGTGGCCTTAGTAATCAAAGCCGGTTTAGGCCTTGGCTTGGCCAAAGGATAGGATGGCATCGCGAATTAATAATTGTAAGGTAAGTTTTCCCCGGACGACGAATCCTGACTCAGTCGCAGCGCCCATCTTTCCAGCCGGTTCGCCATCTCTCCTCCCACTTAGAACAGTCGAATTTCTCCTTGCCCAACTTGACATTAACTGCATTATGCGCTTCGCACAGCCATCTTCCAAACTCGTCTCGACTGCCGACTTGGATCTGGTCTTTCTCTATGTATCGCTGGAAATCCTCGGCACATACCCAACACGGATACAGTCTTGAGAAAACTCCCATGAATGTTCGGAGGTCGGACTGTTGAGCGGCGCTTGGCGTCTTAGGATACGTTGCGGCAATAGAATGCAGTAGGGTCCACGTGCTTCGGCCCAGCGTCTCTACGTCGGCTGGACAATCATCCGGGGTAGGATGCGGCGACGAAAACGTTGAGGCAGCCACCGCGCCAGCTCCGATACCAACAGCAGCGCCTGTTGCAGCATTACTACCAGACTTGAGAGAGGATTTAGTCATCTGTGCCCACGTAGAGAAATCCTTCTTCGAGGTGCATGATCGACAACTACAAAGATAAGCTCATATTAGTGGTTGGCGGGAAATAATGCAGCCACCGGCCTATCGTGATAATGGCTTAACTACTCACGGCTTGCCATCTTTTCCTATGACGAATCCTTTAGGCAGCTCGTTGGGCTGTGGCTCTCTCGTGTCGGCAGCCATTCTATTAACTAGTACGACCGGCGTAGAATAAGTGCAGAAGAAAAAAGGAACCGGCAGGAAAGCTCATGACAGTTTGCGACAACATCGAAAGTTGTCGGCAGGAAAAATAAATTAAGCTGAAGCGGATTTGTCAGTAGCTCGGCGTAAAGCGAGTACCGGCAGCGGCCGGTAACGCCACTTACTAAACACGGCCCGAAGAGAATGATCCACTTTAATGGCCTTACCTAATAGCTCCTTAACGCGCGAAAGTATTCCGTACTTCCACTTTATCTTAGGTACCTCTTAGTTATTACTTAGTTAATCGATTAAAGGTTTTTATCGATAAAAGCTTGGAAATCTTGAGTGAATCTTGGCGCTAGATGCTCCAATTACTAAAATGAAGCCAACTTTGATAAAGCTCAGATAGAAAAGACATCATCAATCGATGCTTTTCTAACCATCATTGTCTGAATTATCTAGATTGCCTAGCTTTTATGGCTTCAGACTCGGCCTCAAGCCTGGACAAAGTTCCTGTGCTGCTCCTCAAGACAAAATCATCGCCGACCGATGCATATGAAGACATATTTTCTATCCCTAGTGATGGTTTCCCTTCTTTTGAACCCATCTTCGTTCCTGTCCTTCAGCACAGGTTTGAAGATGACGGTATGCAACAATTCGAAAAGTTACTGCGGGAGAGGAGGATAAACCGTAACGCCGATAGCGCTTACGGTGGTCTCATATTTACCTCGCAGAGAGCAGTCGAGGCATTCGCCAAGTTAGTTGATGAGGGCAAAGGTCCGAGGCCCCTCATGTGTTCAGCGGCGTCCTCAGTCTCTGACTCGTAGGAATTAAATAGGTGATCAGACTTGGCCGCACCTCCAAGATATACCAGTCTATAGTGTGGGCCCTGCTACGACCCGAGCGCTCAAAGTCATTCCCCAGACACCCCCGCTCCAAATCTTTGGCGAGCATACTGGGAATGGCGATGCGCTCGCACGGTTCATATTAGACCACTACGGCGAATGGTACAAAGACCGTCCCACCAAGCCTCCGCTACTCTTCCTAGTAGGAGAGCAGAGACGGGACATTATACCAAAGACGCTAATGGACGAGACTCTGCCGGATAGTCTACAGATAAAAGTAACAGAGATAGTGCTATATGGCACTGGTGTTATGGAGTCTTTTGCTAGCGACTTTGCGGACGTACTGCAGAGAACAGCAGGCCGACCGGAACGATGGGTTGTGGTTTTCTCACCGACAGGTTGCGACAGTATGTTGAAGGGGTTAGACCTACTCGATCAGGAAACAGGTAAGGCTATCGAGAGGACGAGCGATGTGAAGCCGCCAACCTCGATTGCGACGATCGGACCGACGACGGCGAATTATCTCAAAAAGACGTTTCATCACGAGGCTAAAGTATGTGCTAAGGAACCTACTCCGGAAGGAGTACGACAAGGCATAATGGAGAATATGGTAAAGGATATATAGATTAGGTATTTAAGGTAGGTGATGGGACTAGAGCTATGGGTTTAGATCTGGATATATACCTACGTATAATATATTGCGTGTAGCCTACTTCGTATATGCATATTAAAATCATATATGAAACGACTTGAACAAAAGAAGCCTGAATAGCATCTTGATGATAAGATATAATAGTATAAACTATAATAACCCAGATGATGATTCAGATACACACAGACTGTAATAGATGTAAGCTACAACAAGGAATTTGTTGAATTTGTCGAATAATAAGTTTCCAAGAAACAAACCAAGTTCCAAGACCCCCAAGTGGTACGAGTTTAATAATTGTTTGATAAGTATTCGCAAGTACATATTTGAAGGTATATTTTGTATGTAATGTATTACCTAAAGTACCTAACGTAACCTATATAAACGTAGGTACCTAAGGTAATCGTTACTCGAGCTTTCCTAATTTCACTTACTTTTTCTTCTTCCTACTATTTCAACTATTATTTAATTCCTTCTTCCTTATCAAAATTTATGGTTGGTATCCTCTCTATTAATAACTACCTAAATTCCACCTTAGCCAATACGACGTAGTTATACCGCTGCAACACCCCCACTACCCACTACAGGCAACTAACACAGCTGTCTAAAACAAATAAAAATAAAACCCACCCATCAACAGCCATCGTCACGCTACGTCACATTCATGATTCCATTGCTGACCTATCCTTGCCTAAGGAGAGGTAAAGATTGTGCAGCTTAATTCGGAGTAACCTACCCTAAGACGAAACCAGAACAGAGCTACATCCATACCTACATATAATTCAGATCTCCAACATCTTAGCTGCTTAACCTTAGGTAGCTTTGTCTAACTGCTATCGGAAATCACCTAGTTAAAGGTCTTAAAAAGTTACCTAGGTTTAGGTTAGATTACCTAGAAACTAGATCGACACACCATCACTCACGCGCATTTCTCACGAGACCTAAACTCCAACTACCGACCATGAGCATCAACCGACAAGATACCGATTTAATAGACCTCTCGCCTATATCCTCCGGTCCCTCCACCCCCATATCCCGCCACCACCACCAATCCCACACCAATACCCACACTCACACGTTCCCGGAGTCCAAACCGCAATCTCCTCCGCCCCAGGGCCCTTCCTCCTCCGGCAGCGGCTACGGCATCATATTCGGCCTCTGGCGCCGCTTCTCCTCGCTCGAGTCGCCCACGTCTTCTCCCCTCTCCCACTCACAGCTATACAATGCCAATTCGGAACCCGTAGGCGCGGGCGACGGTATAACAGGGCCGTTTATCCCGCCGACGCGCCGCACACCGTCGCCCCTGCGTGGACTGCCTTCTCTCGAGCCCTTGGTGCTGCACGGCTATCGCACTGACACGCGGACTGATGAGCGGTTGCTAGCGCATGGTCTGGCGGAGGAGATCAGGACGTTCTTGCCCGAACGATTGAAGATCATCGAGGACTGGCGGTTGGTGTATAGTTTGTACCAGGATGGCAGTTCGTTGGCTACGCTGTATAAGCGGTGTGAGGAGTACCGCGGACGGAGGGTCGGGTTTGTGCTTGTTATACGGGATGGGAGGGAAGGGGTGAGTATTTCTCTTATAGCCCAATCGTCTATTTACTTATTTATCTACTTATGTTCATAACGACAATACGACATGAGGATATATCTTGGAACAAACTATACAATATCGGCTAGCTGACCTATACACGCAACAGACCTTCGGCGCATACCTGACAGAAGCACCACACCCAGCGCCATCCTACTTCGGCACAGGAGAATGCTTCCTCTGGCGCGCAAGCCTGCACGCGCCTCTCCCTCCGCCCCCCTCCGCCGACACATCCAACATGAACTTCCGCACGACGACGATCGCCTCCCCGACCGCCACCACCAACACCAACACCAGCACTACCAACGCCGACTTCCCTAGCGTCGACCGCCAGCCCGCAAGCCAGCTAGCACCCGCGCCGACCGACCTAGAAACCGGCAAGGCAGCGGCCTCGGCTTCGGTGCAGAGCATCCGGTTCCAGAACTTCGCGTACACGGGCGCCAACGACTACTGCATCTTCTGCGAGACGGGCTTCCTGTCCGTGGGCGGCGGCCGCGGCGGCACCTACGGCCTGTGGCTGGATAACGGGCTGACCCGGGGCCATAGCGCGCCGTGCGATACGTTTTTGAACCAGCCGCTTAGCGACGAGGGCGAGAAGTTCGACGTGTTTGGTGTGGAGATGTGGGTTGTAGGTGGCTGATGCGAAGTTTAATGCTGTAGTAGGGGCGTTTATTGTTGTTGTCGTTGTTGTTGTTGTTAGTATGAGGGTTGTGTGACATTTATTTCATCGACTCGATTTTTTTTTTTGCTCGACTCGACTAATAGGAATGAATCAGGATGGGGAGAGCATGAAGTATCGCGATAATTTCGGCAAGTGTTTATACGAGCAGCAAGGCAATGGGAAGCTCGTCGTGGTGTGGTGTAGCATGATGCGGTATACCGATGAACGAGCCAAGCCCGGCCAGGCAGGGATGGAAAAGGGGCTGGAAATACCTAGCAGATAAAACACTGAGATCATGACTGGGACAAATAGGCGTTCCGGTTCCATAGGGGCAGGCAGGCAAGCAAGCAAGTACGTCTTGCTATTTTTTGGTTGTTTTTTGTTTTGTTTTGTTTTGTCGGTGGATGGAATTGCTAAATATATTATATTAATTCTGCTCACTACCTTTGACTTTGGCTTGGATGTGTGGTGAGAGGTTGGCCGCCCTGGCTTTGTGCATTCTTCTTGAAAAGATCAGCTAGGGACGGATGAACAAACAAGAATACCTTACTAGGCTGCTTTCTAGAATGATAGTATACCCGATTTTGCTATATCCGATGACATCTCCGTAGACACGATGATATAAGACATGTGGACCAGCGATGCCCTTGAAGGCAAGAAAACGGACGAGTCAAGGGGTAGTAGTAGTAGTAGTAGGTATAGACAAGTAGAGATGGCACCAAGACAAACTGGTAGTTTATTCACAACTTTACTATAGTCTACGAATTACTCTCCCCATTGTTATTTATATATATAGGTATATATATAATCGAGCCATACATGCTAAGAGAAAGAAACCCTTAACATGAACAAAAATACCGCTCTAAAGTTAACTAACCCATGTTTTTATATTCCTTACCCGTATATTAATTAATAAAAAGCCCTTATAATTACAAACCACGTAACTACCTAGGTAAAGCTATAACTATGTATATCTATTATAGTGAGTAAACACCACTCCTCTACCACGTTTTAACCGAGATACGACTAAAACCTATGCCCGTAGTAGTTATGTAGTTACCCCTAGTTATTATATAAGTTCTTAACCCTCTTGTACGCAATAACCACGTAGCTACCTACCTAAATAGCAAAGAGCCTAAAAGAACGGAAGACACACTACCTGGATTTATTAAAGTAATACAAGCACACTGGCCTTGATACAACTTACTCACCCCTCCCGATTTGCTATACTAATTATATAACATATATCACATAACTAGCAACTCAACCCCATGAAGCTCTAATCTCAGTGGTGCAACCCAAGACTTATTTATTTATATACTACCTACCTATCTGCAATGAACATACCGTTTCAATATCAAACCCAAGAACACCTTAGAACATATACCAGACGCTAAAACACCAGGTACTCACCACGTAAGGCGTAAATTTATAAAGTATATCGTGGCATTAGTTTTACTTGAGAGTTCTTATACTACTTGACAAGAGCAGTCCTTGAATACTTTGCCTATTCATCTTCCTATTCATGCTCGGTGTTGATCTATATTCTCGAATAACCTTACGTTAATCACGACCGAGCCTCAACGATATTTACTTGGCGAGTAAACAACCAGCACATAATTCAATAAGCAAACAAGCTATAGGCAATAGAGTACCAGAAAAAAATGTCTGTTTTACTACTAGCAAGAGTAAAGAAAAGAAATCGGAGAGAAGACAAGATATATCCTTATCCATCTGGCCTCTCCACAGTCATGCCAGATCCCGCACCAGATCTCGTGGCATAAGATCTCCACCTTCCCCTCGCGAGTTATATCTTAGGGTACACTACTCCTCCACACTAATCTTCGAATAAGGTATGTTTATCACCGTCCAGTTACTCTCCAAGGCCGCCGCCACCCGCTATGCAAAACCAAGCGCCATCCCTCAGCGGCGATGCCTTTTGTGTGGATCCGCCAGCGAGGGGGTGCGATCTCGAATCTTAAGGTTCTGCATGAGCTGCGAAATGCTCTCCCGAATCCTGAGTTTGCTCAAGAAACCGCTGTTCTACCGCATAATCTCTTGATAGATGAGTTGTTTCAACTGCTCTTTGCTAAGGTTGTCCTTGTGCTTGTCGAAGTCGAAGAACTCCTCAGGAATCGGGGGTGCGGTAGGCTCGTCCTCGGGGTCGTGGTACGGTTCGAGGTAAGGGTGCTTCAAAGCTTCCTCCACCGTGATGCGCTTCACCGGGTTGAAGGCTAACAACTTCTCGAGCAGGTCGAGCGCCAAATCGGAAGTCTTGGGGAAGAGAGTTCGGAATGGGACCTTCTTCTTGAACGGAAGAGAGCGGATGTACTCGCGAGCGCGGCGAGACTTAATCCCATAGTAGTCCTCCATGGTAGGGGTACCAAGGACGTCCAGGATCAGGGTTAACTGATGGTGGTCTACGCATTGTTAGCAAAAGGTTCGTTTGATTCCCAGGTAATTTAGTCACGTACAGTCCTTTCCAGGGAACAAGGGCTTCCCGCTCAGCATCTCGGCAAGAATGCAACCCACGGACCACACGTCAATAGCCTTTGTATATTCCTTAAAGGTCAACATAATCTCGGGTGCACGATACCATCGAGTAGCAACGTATTCCGTCATGAAACCAGAGTTGTCCTCTTGAGACGCCGCCGATCGAGCAAGTCCGAAATCGCAAACTTTCAGGTCGCAGTTAGCGTTCAACAGGAGGTTGCTAGGCTTCAAGTCTCGGTGAAGCACATTTGCGGAATGCATGGCCTTTAGCGCTCGTAGAGTCTGGTAGATGAAATACTGGCAGTGATCGTCAGATAGATCCTGTGTGCGGATCACCCTATGCATATCCGTCTCCATCAGTTCCTATAGCACCGTCAGTAACTAGCCTTGCACATGGGTTCCAAGGTCATCCATCTCGTACCTGAATTAGATACACCTCGGTAAAAGACTCGTAGCTGCGCGGCTTCTGGATGTCAAGAATAGAGATGATGTTCTCGTGGTTGAAGTATCGAAGAAGTTTCATCTCTCGAAGAGTTCTTAAACAGAACATAGAGTGATCAAAGGGAGTAATCTTCTTAATGGCGACCTTCTGGCCTGAAGGCTTATGTATCGCCGAGCTATGTACGGTTGGTTAATAATCTGACCTGATTTGGACTTTTAAGATATCTACAAGCCTACCAGACGACACCATAAGCTCCCTCGCCCACAACATCTTGAATGTCATACTGTTCGCTAACGTTGAAAGAAATCTTCCGGGATCCGGCCGGATTAGGAGGATTTGCTCGCGACATGATGGTGTGTTGTTAAGGAAATATGTGCTGTAAGTCGAATTCAAGACCGAACGCGGGAGGGAACCTAAGAGCTTGAAGATTCCACCGCCTCGGGCCTCAAGAGCGGATTTATTAGGGTCCTGCAAGGGCAATAAGAGCGCCTATATAGGTAATCTCGGCTCGCCAAGGAATATTAAAACTCGTGCACGCTCCACTCAGCGGAGTACAACTCGACAGGATATTGGACGACGAGACGACGCTATTCGCACTTTCCGAAATAGAGTCCAACTCGCCTAGAATGCGGAGCCGACAAGTATGATTTGTAGAGATTAATACTCCGATAGATCGATAGTCGCAAAGAGTCGGGTTGTTTGCTTTATTGTGGCGTCGCTTCGTTTCGTTCTTTCAAGCTGGCGAACGAAATATCGGTGCTTCTTTATGCTCGTCGAACTCAGCTTAGTGCGTCAATGCTGCGGTTATCCGACTGAGCTGGAAGATGATGTGTTAGCTGAGGTTTTAAGACGTAAAAAAAAAAAAAAAAAAAAGACAAAGACAACAGCTGCGGCTGAGACCAAGGTGAGGAAATAAGTGATAATTGATCGTCCCGATATGAAGATCGGATGCCGTGGGGAGTTAAGCGATTTGATCCGTGGGTCTGTGCAGATTAGGCCGGCGTAAATCGTGGCGTTCTCACCTGCAATTGCTATTTGGTTCAGCCGAATGTGATGGTCCTACGAAGACGAACTACTGGGGATAGAATAGTTCGCGTAGTCGGTAATTACTGAAGGTCGAAGAGGGTTTATGTTACTACTTGTTGAGTCTCAAGGTCGGGGTCAAAGAGTGCAGGTGGTGCCTGTGGTGCCTGTGGTTCCAACCCCGTGTTACAAAACTTGAGGCGCGCCGTCTGTACCAATGATCGGGAGAGGATGGGGGGAACAGGGTCTCGAAGATGCGCGCCGGTACGAGTAGCGATCCTTGGCGTTACCGAATGGTGCACGGTTGATTCAAGATTGAAGATTGGTAGCTGGCGTTCCCATCGTCGGATTTTGTGATTGCGTGTGAGGGGTAAGGGTTAAGGGTTAAGTGTTAAGGGGAAGGAAATAAAATAAAATAACTCTTACCTTTAGATTCAGATTTAGTTACCGCACGATTGGAAAGCGGCAAGTGGAAGGCGTCGGTTGGGTTTAAAGTTGAATAAAAAAACGACAAGAGCTTTGGAACGAGCCCCGCCTTCTGAGATAGAAATAGAGGTTAGATACCTCCCTCGTAGGCAGTTTTAAGTACCTAGGTAGGTACTTTCAAGGTAGGTAGGGATTATTTCAGATTTATTACGTGATTCGTACCGAGTAGAAAAGAATAAAAATAAATAACTAACTAGTTAGTTAAAATAGAAACGAAACTGTTTAGTTACCCCAGGTGAGTTTCGTATAATAAACTAGTCGGGCAATAACAATAATAATAATAAGACGAGGCAATCGTATCAATAATACTATGAGGTATTGTATGTGGTAGAACCAACAATTTAGATGCTCAGAAAAACAAATAAAGTGAAGCGGGTGCGAGCGGGCAGGCAGGCCGGGCGGGGGGCAGAGATGATGGGCAAGAGATGTCAAAGAGCTCGAACCCAAACCCAAACCCAAAAAAGGAGCTGAGCCGTTACAATGGCAGTGGATAAACCCCTTCGGGCCCCCCTATATTGGTATGTATGGGTCGGTGATCTATTGAATAGAATCCCGCGCTGGGTGGACTGTGGGACCTCAATAATGCGACGGCGACAAGACACTAGGAAGTTCTAAACGGATGGGACGGCCTCTTAGAACTAGTACCAGATAATGAATCGTCGTTTAAGCAAGCGTGTGTGGGAACAGCAGCCGTAGAAGTGACCCGATGAAGGAGACTAGGAGATATGTATGTATGTATGTATGTATAACTAGAGAAGAAATGTTAATAAAAGACGAGATAAATGTTTGTGCAGTATTTATTTGTTATAACCAAATATGTCTAATAAGCCTCCTCTTTTCAATCTCTTCGTTTTCAAACTTCCTCCCCCCTAATGATCAATCATGTAGGTAACTTTTATCTATATTGATGTATCTAAGACAGGTACTTCCAAGCGCCCCTAAGACGTTAGTCCCGGGTAATTCTCCACGTGGGATCTAAAATCAGGTTTGCTCGGTATAAAAGGGGCAGGTCTAGTATAAGTTGACGATACCAAACTTACCTAGGTAGGTATGTACAAAAAATCCAGTTCAGTCCAGTCCCGAGGAATGTTTTAAGTTTAACTCAAGACGGGATGAGCGAAAGTGTGATATGTAAGGTAGGTATACATAGAAGCGCGATGGGCGAGGGGGGGGGCTTGGGAGCTAGGAGAGAACCTTAAATTGATAGGAGAGGATTGGCTAGTGGGGTCGGAGGGGTAAGGGGATGTTTGTGCATCGAGACACACTTTCTCGCGGGGTCTTCTTTTCTAGGTACCTATTATAGGTACCTATTATTAAGGCAGGTACCTAACTTGTTATCGTCACACGTCAACTATATCAATGTACATAAACATGTATATACATTATACATTATACATAATACATTATACATGAACCAATAAAATATCATCTCTACACCTTCATCTTCATCTTCATCTATAAACAGTCCTCTAGCCCATTCCCATCACGCCACAACAATATTCGACCGCCGATAGATTTCAACCACACACGCTAGGTCATCCAATAAGCGTCCACCGTAAGCGCCGCACACTGTAGCCCGGCGCGTGTGTTTTAAACCCCATCCCGACAGCCTCCCCTGTCCGTTTCATGACTGGTTGACACCAACCCCAAAGATATCACCAGGGATCTGAAGCACCCCCCTCGGCACCGGCTGCCTCCCGGCCACTCGCTATGCTGAAAATTCGTCCCGTCTCTTGCCCGCCTACCTTGCCTACCTACCTGCCACTTTTACTTTCCCTTACCAGAGACCCTGTAGAAGCAATGAGGAAAAAGGGAAAAAGGTCAAGCCAAGTTACCGCTCCAAATCCAGTCTTACATAGACCTAGGTTCGGCTCTGTCAAAAGAGCCGAGGCGCTTACGATATAACTACCTACCTACCTACCTACTTATCCGCCGCAGCGCCCAATGCCCAGATTGCCGGGTCCAACAATGATTTATGACTGGTTTGTGTACCGTGTCTTCGGAGAAATGAGGGTAACTTGCCCACACCATTCCCGCAATTTTCGGCTCCATCTGCCAACCGGGTCTGATCTAGTCGATCCGGGTGCTGCATCTACGGCCGATAGAATATCTTCCATATGCATGTATCACATGTATCTCATATCCTACGTTAGGTACTGTGGCATTGCCGCGCTACTTACTAGACCAGCGAGATCTTGTGAGACTGGTAAATCGGCAAAAACACTGGGCAGATGAATGGGCACGCATGTTGAATTGCTGACATATTAATGATACACGCGGACAATACCTGGCGGAATGTCGATCACCCGTATCACTAGCATCTCAAGACATCGGCTCGAGATTCCTTTTCACCAAACGGGATTGTAATTCGCTAGCGGAGCTTTGCTTTCTACATGATAAGGCACGTAACAGGTCCGCAGCCCACTCGGTCACGTATTAGACCTAATTCGGCCGTATGAAACGGATCTGAGAACAAAATCGACCCACTGACTTGAAATAAAGCCCGCTGTAAGGCTTATTAATGCTATTTTACTTAACACGATGTGAGGCGCTAGTTGACATGTCGCCAATTCCAAGTCAATGACTCGCTGGCGTTACTTCGATTTACTTCCTTTTTCTCCAAGGCCTTTTCATTTGTCGGTGAAGTGGTTGGAACTCGTCTTGCAAATCCTCAATGCAGTTTGAGGTAGTGGTGATACTACTGCACAACCTAAAATAAAAATAAGCATAAATGCTATGGGGAAAAATTAGGTCATCAAAGCTTTCTCAACTTACCTTTTCTCTCAGCGTTCCCATCCACTGACCAAAGCTCATCCCTTGGTCTGCCCGGTCTTCTACGAGCAGCGTCTGCGCCCAGAGCTTCAGGCTTGGTTCGCCATCTTCCCGTACGATATATAGATGTGGTACGATGATGCTACCAACTCCGCGTGATAGGTGGTCTCTACTCTTTTGAATCACGGCTCGGACGCGTTCGTTGAAGTCGTTGTCAAGCTCGGGAATCGAGCCTTTGCCGACACGTAGCTGAGTGCGATCCCCTACGCCGAATACATCCGTCAAGAGCTGGGGTACTGCATCCCTACCCACCCATAGGAACTGCGTTTGGCCGTCGTCGATCAAGTATAGCCCATAGGTGACGAATCGTTCCGACGACAAGTTTAATGGCGGTGGGAGAACAATCTGGCTCGTTTCTGGATCGGGAACTCCAGCATTATCGGGCATATCATGTAGCGAATATAATCGAGGGTAAATGTACTGCATTAGAAGCGGCAGAGGTAACGTAGATAGTAGGCACAGAGCCGCTGACCTGAGATCTGACGGGATTTGCGCTGACTTGCGGAGGCCGACGTGCTTGATCAAACCTAAGAAGAGCACTGGGAGGCCGCGCAGATTGGCAGGGAACTGTAACCCACCACCGCCCATGCTTCCACCCCCTAATTCCTTCTTGAAGGTCTGGAGGAGCTCAATAAGCTTGCTCTGGAGAGCATCGCGGGCGGCGTCTAAACCGCTACTGAGAGCTCTCTCGACAGCCTTGTGAGTGAAGTATGTCGTAATTGCACACTGGTCCGCCGAGGCATAGACGTCGGCGAGGTTGGTTGTTGTGGGGATTGCGAGCGTCATGACACGGATACGCCGTTCACCATTGCACGTAGTGTACAAGACACCGGCTTGTAAACAAACATAGTTCTTCTGCAGAGTCTCGTCGATAGCCACCTCGACCACGTAGCATTGATCGCGGGGGAAGGCCGGGAATGCGCAGAGATCCGAAGACCTATTGAAGAAATTCCCGTAAAACGTGCTCATGCGCAAGCCCGTCGTGGCTCGTACTCTAAGCACTGCTTCCAACCCAATTTCCGAAGATAGGAAGTCGCTAAACTCCGTTGCAAACTTGACTGCATCCTCAGCGCGACCCGCATTCCATCCGGGATAAAACCAGGTTTGGCCACCGGTATATCGGGGAAGGTTGCTAAGCGAGGCCACATCTTGGTATTGCGAAGAGAAAAGGAACATGTCGATGGAAACTTGATTCTTGGAGCACTCGACAGCAAACGACTTATAGAAACTGTTTGCGGTCTGGAGGAGACCGCTTTCTTTAGACGTACCCAGCAATTTTTTGTCCTCCCGCATCTCTAACTTTCCTACTCCCAGATTCGGCAACGAAGCGCTGAGCACCACGATCTTGCCACCTAATGGTGAGATGAGCTTGTGGCCAGCCCTCAGGGCAGATCCCATGCACGAGTTATTGCTCTGGTTATTCTGGAACATGTCGGGAAGCTTGGCTAAAAAGTTCTCAATGCTGCTTCGGCTTTCTATCAGGGGGACCAGGAGATCCTGGGGAACTGGTAGGAACGGCTCGTCTAGGTCGCTGATAACTAGCATAGATGTCTCCGCATTTTCGTCGTCATCCTTGGGCACAGAAAAATAGTGCAAGCTTGAGTCGACTGCGATGAATCCTAATCGGGTTCGTCGGTCGGCATTAGGTATCCTGTTGAGGCTGTCTAAGATAGTACGCGCGCTTGTAGCAAGAAGACCGGTAGAGACGGCAGCGTAGCTAACATCGAAAAGGAACAGATACACCAACGGTTGCGGAGGGCGCACCATATACTCCTGAGGCGCAACAAATTCGACAACGGAGTGGTTTAGTTCATACCTATCCCATCGGTTGACGCTCTTCTGAGCGGCAGCATCCCAGTCAAAGGCTTGCGGTACGTCGTTGGTAAGATTACACATATTACACCGCCATCTGTGACCTTGGTCGAGGAAGATCACGTAAGGGTTGATATAAGTCCTACATCTTCGGCATCTAGCTATCACCTGATCCTGAACAACGGGCACAGCATCGTCGATGTCGTGAAGGGCGGCATACGGCTGAATGACGAGGGCAAATGGCAATTTTGACTTCTTAAGCAAGGAATGCGTAGTAGGGACTGCATTCAAGGTCGACCGGATATATTTGGGAGGGCAGTTCGCATCGGGAGACTGGGTGACACTGGCCTATTACGAGAATTAGCCATAGATATAAATACGCGAAGAATATTTCCACGGAACTCACATTTGGTGGTAGAATACAAGGGGGAGGGGGTAAATCTAACTCTGACACGTTGAATGGTTGATTTAGCAAGTCGGTTGGGTAAAGCTGGTTTAAGGCGACTCGAGCTTGCTGAGCAGGTTGCTGAACGGCAGGCTGGGAACCAGGCCCCATGTTCATACCAGCCATTCCTTGAGTTATGCCGGCGACTCCCGGAGGTGGCTGTCCAACTCCCGGCTGGTAGTATGGGTCGGGAGCTTGGTAACCACCTAACCCTGGCTGAGGAGCACCTGTCTGCTGGGGAGCGCCGTATGGTGCTTGGCCGGGTGCGGGAGAGCCATAGCCACCCTGTTGAAAATCCGGGGGAGGATAGGCACTACCAGCCCCGTAACCCGGAGAGGGTTGAGGACCCGGAGCAGGACCTCCGTATCCTGGTGATATACCGCCGGGTGTTGGGCCAGTAGCGCCAGCGTTCGCGCCGCTTCCAAACTCGAATGCCTGGGTGGCATAACCTCTCTTCTTCTTTTTTCCATCATGGTGCGATGCGGCCTGAGGAGGGGGAGATGCCTGACCTTCGTAACCGGTAGGCTGCTGGTCGGAATATGGCGCCTCCTGGTCGTACTCCTGTGGTGGGTATTGGCCGTAGCCGTCATTGGGAGCAGCCATGTTGGCGCAATGGATCACTGATCAGTGATATTCTCGTTTATCGGCCTGTCCTAATCCTGTCTTCCTCCTACTTGCGTTCAAAGATTTTTTTTTCTTTCTGCGGACGTTCTAATGACCCAGTGCGCGCCAGATATAAATTACGTAGAAGGAATATGTCGTCGTGTCGAAACGTAGATGTGTTGGTGGTGAGACTAGATACCTAAGGGCTCGAACTTGTGGACACGAATCGATAGAGGATGGGGTGGTTCTCGGAGGCCACGTTTTTAAAAAAGCAGAAACGAAAAGGGATGGAGACTGCTAGCGGACGTGTATAGATGATGGAACGAAGTAGGATGGGGAAAAAAAGGGAAAGGTGAAAAAACACGAGGCGTAAATATTGTGGTTTACAAGATCATGATTTTGGACTATATCGGCGATGGGATAGATGTTACCCGAATTCAGCAACTTGTCAATTTCACAAGCCAAATGACGCTGTGATTCGACACTGTACAAAATGGTGGGTGAACCTGGTGGCGGGCTGGCTGGCTGGCTGGCTGGCAGGCCTTGCGGGTTAATGCTAACAATGGGGTTTGATGATATTCGAACTTGGTCCAAGCTTCTTTTTTCTATGCCAAGGTCAAAAGATGGGAAATAATATGGATTTATGCTTATGTAAAGATCTAAAGCTTATTTCCATAATAATTGCTATGTACCTATGTACCTTTCAATTCTAACGTCCATTTCAGAGGGGAGACCTACCTAACCCCGAGATCCCACTGTACCTAACCTAACCTAAGGTACCTCATAATACATGTATTCTGTAAGCACCAAACCCAATCCAAATCAAAACGTGCCGAACTTCCAGCTCGATCCTGCTATTTCCCTGTGAAATCAACCTCGATTAGGCAGGCTAGACTCTTCCCTTGTACTACCATATGGCGTATCTACGGTACATCTACCTAATTTTAGCATCTCATTTAGCGATTGCGTTACGATAGTAGCACGTTGGTTATGAGATGGTCCCTAAAAGAATAAATGATTGCTTTCAGCTGAGACTTCCATACCTACCTCCATACCTTAGGTACCTAACCTACCTATAATAATATATATAACATGCAACTCCCGTGTCCCGTGTTTAAACTTAAGGTTCCCTTTCCCATTCTATCTAGATCCCTTTTTTTAGATCCCGAGGGCCGTGATACTTGAAAACTTATAAGTCCTCTGCCGATCACTACATATATACCTACATATACCTACATATACCTACATATACGCTATACCTTCTTCCTAAGTAACCTAATAACTACTCCTCGTACTAACACAAGACTGTTCCCGCCACCGGTAAATTGGACGCTACTTTATTTTCATTGTAGTTTCTTTCTCGTTTTCTCTCTCTCTCTCCAAAAATTGCAAATCACCATATTCCATATAACCATCCAGGAACATCACCAATTCGACTCTTACAAGCAGAAATCATGGTTTGGAAGAATAAATCTCACATCCCAGTCGAGGCCAAGTCCTCGACTTTTAGGTACTAAGCCTTATCTCTACCATTGCCGTTATTATATACCTACCTACCTACCTCATAACGATCCCCGTTCTATTCGCTAACGTAAGCGCAATCGCTTCCTCCCGTCGCGCAGACAGTTACTACCTCTCCTAATCCTTCTCGTCGTTCTTGGCGGCGTCGCCTTCGTCGGCTACCAAGTATACCTCGGGGCGACCAAGATCCGCGACAGCACCGAGAAGCGCATGGCTCGGAAGAACCTCGTATTTACCAAAGACGGCCTGAAGGTCGGCGTCAAGCATGTCGAACAGGAGAAATACGTCGATGCGACTCAGAGCTGGGTCGTTAAGGCTTGGAATCTAGGGAATTCTACGCCCCCCGTCAAGAGGAGGTAGACGTTTGGAATCGAGATACTGCGCATTTCATGAGGCAGGTTCTGTTCGCCTAGCGTATATGATGTAGACGACTTCGCGATTCCCTAGAGGCGTCTAGTGGGCTTATACGATTTGACGGCTCTTTTCTTATTATATTTGTTTTACGTGTACTCGCTACTTACACGGATGAAATCGCGAGCTCCAAGAAAATGAATCAGCTGGATACGCATGGTCGATTCAAATCTACCACCTGCCATTGCGCATGGATGGGAGCGAAGGGAAACCTGTACGAGATATAATGATACCCTAGCCGATTAGTAGATGGCTTTATATAGGAATCGCGAAGACGAGAGAGTTTGGCGTTTGAATTCTTTATTCCAGCTTTTATTAACTATTCGAAAGATATTTGCAAGTTTATCGACTATATTTTTACAATCTCCATGAGACTGCGTTGCCCATACTCCTTCGAGTCCATCCTATCCCTTATTTTACGCAGTCCTACCGAGGGAGAAGCAAACTCAAGTTAATCTACACCCGACACATTTCTAAGAACCCATGCAGAAAGCCGTGCTTATACGAGTTGAAGTAATTCAAATTCCCCGTCCCTTACTTATCCCCATATCATTAAAGAAATACGACGTATTACCGTATCCGATAGGTAAAATAGCCTCGCGGTCATAGCTCCAGTAAACCCCCATAAACTGTTTTCCGCGTATAAAAAAGTACAAAAATACTAGAATGATATATAAACCCTTATTAATTCACCTAGAAACCTTATACATGGATATCTAAGTCCTAGAGTCCTAGAAGTGGATATGAATATATATCAATGAATATGTCGCTGGTTGCCGCAATCGAGGCCTCCTAATCCACCTTCACCCTTGTGAGCGCAGCGCTGATCAACGACCCCTGGTATCGACCATATGGGTTCGGTTAGAAGGATAGGATAGGATAGGATACCTAGGTATCATAGCGTTGCGGTACATATGTAGGCTTCGAAGTGTCAGTGCCAGTGCCGTCTCATCCGGCTTCGGATATCTATCCGTCTGACTATCTGCCAAGTCGTTTTTATCCTATCCGTCTGGTCTTAAGTAGATAGGTGGTCCCTAGACCGTGCTGTCTTACGGATTAGATTTTTATAGTAGGTAGCTTAAGTAGCTGTAAGTTGTGATCATGAAAGTCGAAAGTCGAAAGTTGACCCTCCCTATTAACCCAAACACCAATACCAACACCGATATCATCAATACCAATATCATTAACATCGACACCAACACCAACACCAACCCATCACACAACCAACCACCGCTGCGCAACCCACTTCTGACTCTCCCCCGCATCCTGCCCTCCAGCCGCATGCGCCAACAGCTCCGCGCGATGCTGCTCGAAGTGTTTCTTCCGCAGCGCCTCGATATACTGTAACGGGCCATCATTACCATTATTAAGACCGCTCTCATCATCACCCTCACCCTCATCAACACCACCATTATCACCACCACTCCCACTCCCACAACTCTCCCTCAACGCCGCCTGTCCAACAAACGCACCCGCCGACAACCCCGGCGGCAACGGCGGCGCAAACGAAGCAGACCGCAAGCATACATCCGCACTTAGACTCACACCCATCTGCCCCTGCCCCTGCGACCTCCCCACCACCACCCTCAAGTAATCCTGCTGCGCGCGCGCGCCGCTAGCCTGCTTCGCCATGAGCGCGTCCCGGCGGATCAGCATGCTGGGCATGCGGATCCGCAGCTGCCGCAGCACGTGCGCGTATTTGACGCCCAGCTCGTCCCCGATGAACCGCAGCCGCCCGTGGATCCACGCCCGCTGCGCGTCCGTCGTGTAGTCCTGGCTGTGCAGGCATATCAGCGGCCACGTGAGGAAGTAGCCCGCGAGCGCCTTGGGGGAGGATTCTGAGCCGCAGGGGAATCCGTTTTGGGGGGTTTGGTTTGGGGGTTGATTTGGAGGTTGGTAGTGGGGTTGGTAGTGGGAAGAGGGAAAGGAAGGGGAAGAGACAGGGGAAAGGGAAAGGGAAGACGGGGGGGAAAGGAGAGAAGGAGGCGTATAGTACTGCTGTCTGCCGTTTTTGTCGCCCGGACGCCACCCCAGCTGGTACGGCACCGACGCGATGATATCGGTGATCGTCTCGACGCAGGTGCGCGCCGCGGTCGCGTACTCGGGCGTCGTGCGGTAGTCAACCGGGCTGCAGATCCAAGCGGCGCAGCGCACGACGAGGGAGGCCAGGACCAGACGTGCGGTGCGCGAGGTATTCCACACGCTGGTGATCCAGAAGTCGTGGTAGACGTCGACGCGGCCGGGAAACACTTCTGCCTTGGAGTAGTCGCCGTTGGGGACGTGGTCCTCCCACGTCACGGTGCGGAAGCGCCATTCTTCGGGCACGTTGCGCATCCAGGCGACGACTTCTTGGTCCACCGTCTGTATGCGTCGGAGCATGTCCGTCATGATTTCGATGTTGGACGGGGTTCGCGCCATGCTGTTCATCAGCCGTGTTACTTCGGCTCGGCACTCTCCTAGTTTGATCATGAGCCGGTGACATGATGCTGCTGTTTTATCCCTGATCGCGTCGTCGATCCACCATTCTGCGCCCATTATAGGAGTTGTTCCCGCCGTGAGGCTGTGGATAATCTAGTTATATTTTTGTTAGTAGTCATAGGTAAGTTAGTTGTATGCCGAATAGAAAGTAAACATACCATTTGGGTCCGAACGGCGATGAAGAGACCTAGGCCGATTTTAGTCTTTAACTGCTTTTTGCCTCGAGCTTTGACGAGTTGTATAGCCCCTTCGGTATGTGAACCCCAGTTTAGCATGCCGATTTGTTTGGCTGTAATACTCTATATATATAAATATATGCCATATTAGAACTCCATCGTAATAATACACGACACTCTAATGGAAGATAGACATACCTCGAATAAGCCCAGCAGTAAAACAGCAGCCAGTGTCGTATCCGCCAGCTGCGTCTTTGGATTCCTCAAAGCGGCATTTGTCCCATTAAGCGCCTTCGTATATTCATACAGTGCTCTGTCCGAAAACCTATTACACACGCCTCCTCGGTTGTTTAGAAAAGCGATTGAGCACGCATTAAAGGCGTTTTGTAAGTGGCCTTGCGGATGCTCCTTCAGCAGCGGGATAATAAAGTCCATGAAAGCTCGCCCGCTTCCTTCTCCGGGCATTAGGATGAAATTAGAGACGAAGCTACAACTAGCTTGTTGTTCTATGGGGATGTTGAGCGGACGAATGACCGCTTGCTTTATGGATGGTATGGCGGTGTTACCAAATACCAGGGACACCTTCATGTCTCTAGGCGTAGAGTCTGGTTTCCCTGTGCTTATCGCCAGCCCCTTTTTGCTAGCCTTCCGCGCTCGCCGCTCCGTAGCTTGCGTCTCGTTACGGAAGATTAGATCAAACTCGTCCTTATATCCAGGACATTGTCTGCGTGATTTGGTGCATTGAGTACACGTTGGTTTTGTCTCGTCGCACTATTGCTTGGAGAAGAGCGCTGGTTAGTCTGCGAGGGAATATAAGGGGATATGTTGCCTGTATGGCAGCCTACCTTTATTCTCCTCGTCCTACACATCTGACAGCCCTTTGAGGGTTTCCCGCAGTAGACCATATTCGCGAAGTTAGATAGCAATGTTTTGTCGTCGCACCTTTGAAGCAATTGCGGATTGGTCAAGTTATATAAGTTAAACAAACCACCGCCAAGATCAGTACCTCCTAAGAAAGCCGATCTTTGATAGTCCCTCCTATTGTTTCAAAGATTATCGTCGAACCACTAGGACCCGAAAGAGTGGCGAGCCTTAGAAAGCTATTGAGCCTTAGGTCAACCGAAGTACGATACCGAAGTATCAAGCTCTAAGGTTGAATAATGTAGTATCTTGTTAACAGGCTCTCATTTAAGAAGGTAATACTTAAAAAGAGGGCGTATGCGTTAAGATCCATGAGAAGTTCCAGGTTGACAATGAGCGGGGAGGAATTGGAGAATTCGGGTTCTAAATGGTCGAATACGAGGTTATTCTCATAACTTGCAGCTTAAATCAACCACAGTAGCCAGCCTCAAAGATAATAGATATCTTCTTTTACGAACACATTGACATGTGGCGTGTTTCGTACTAAAAGAGGCCAGTGATGTAAGGTTATTTGAACGCCTTATATGCAGGCTGTGTATCAGCAAAGCCGGATTCTGATTATTGCCGACGTCTCCGTTTCAGGTGTGTACGTGCCGTGCGTGGCCCAGATAAAACTATTTCGCCCGAGGATAGATGGGATTCGTTGATCTGGGGGTAGCCCTGGCTGACCGAGAAACGTGATTGGTTGAGAAACCCCTGAAAAAGCTACAATTGGTAACTCGGATTGTTTCCGTGTCCCTCGTCATACGATCGTCTTTAATTCTTCACCGCGGACGTTATGTATTCCAATAAATAGATAGGTGAGTAGAAAAAGAAAGAGAGGTCAACGAGATAGTCAAGCATAGAAGAATATCAGAAACCCGATGTGATTAATAAATAACCCCAGGGCCAAGGATGAGCCAAGTGGAGAATGAAAACGCGTCGGTAGCTGGTAGAAGCTTGTAACGACATTCAAAGCAGGGGAACAGGGGAACAGGGGAGACGACCAGGACGACTAGCCTCGAGAGGTATAGTAAAGCCATTAGTCTCACCAAAATCCGCCATAAAGACACTTCATTAAGGCGTCACTATTGGGGGGGTCTGGAGAATTCCGCCTTCCCGAGATACTATATACTATATGTTATGTTCTCTACAAAAATAACATATCATTTTTTATGATTTATCTTTCTATCATCTAACCAGGTGAAGATACCAGCTCATAAATTCGACGACAATAATACCGCAAGTAGGCAGAATGTCAAATAAAAGACACCCGTCATACTATCTTAACTATACGAGTTCTAATAGCTAACTTAGGTAGTTATCTAGATATGAACTTTTGATAAGTAGGTATCGAGTCAGTTGACAAGTTGATCTTCCATAAAGCCGCCGGATGTTGAGCCGTTAGCTCCAAAAAAGCTAAGCTAAGCTAACAACAACCAGAGAGGAGGAGGAGAAAAAATCTTCCCGAAAGACTCGAGCCAGCCTTAACCATAGGATGAAAGTGTAGCCTCACGGATAAATAAAGCTGGCTAATGAAAAAAAAAAAAACTAGCTACGTGGAGAGTTCGCCGATCCCGCCTCATTTTTAACGAGGAAGTTAACCAACCGTTAGTGTTCGGAAGTGTTGATAGTTACTATTTTAGCAATAGCTTATTAGTCTAGTCGTGTAGGATATCTGCAGTAGTTCGGCCACGATAGGCACTAAGACTCAAGAGAAAAGAAAACAAATCCACAACGGGCGCCGTCGCGTAGATCATTGAGATCTTAAGGGTCCCAAATAACGACCCTAACTATTAAAGTACTTATACTATGTACATAATAGGGCGACCTAGGCTAGCTATCTTGCTTAATATCGTATAGCTGAAGTAGGAATATTTCGATCGGTGGTTCTCGGGAGACATCCTATTGGAGCAGTACGGCCTGGTGCGAAGATAGATTATAACGGATCGTATGGGATGCGACGATACATGGCCTCGGGGTCTATCTGTCGGATAGTAGTATACCGATAGTAGCCTTGGCTATGAGACCCGAGGACTTGGGGCGCCTCGCGATGAAGCCTTGGCATCGAGCTAATCTCACCCTTGTTCCTTTCACGTGAAAGACCTATTACGTCTTTATACATGGTAAAAATAGGAGACATCAGTGTTTTAGCCTTGTCTACGCATACCTAATGATTCGATCGGTCAGGATAAACTCTAAAGATGAATATATACGTAATTATACTAACGTACCAAGAGATTCGATGTTCGACTATGCTCCTTTTGCCAACTTCCTATAACTAGAGTAATAAGCCTCACCCAAATCCTGGACCACCTCTAGTCAGAGACCATAAGCAAGCTTCATAGATCACAGAAATACCTCCGTCTCAGAATCTCCTCTTCGCCAACGGCATATACCGCAATACTAAAAGACAATACCCCATAACCAACCACTCCTATCTATATATCTCCTCTGCCGACCTCAACTCCCGAACAACCACGGAGCTATACGGAGCTACCCGGGCTAACGGAGTAGTTCGACACCGGGGCACCCGACACGCAGACTAGCTATAAACTAAAAAAAAGAGAAAAAAAGAGAGAGGAATGAGCAAAAAGAAAATGTTAAAAAATTAAATAAATAAAAAAGCAAAAAAACATACAACACCGGGGATTCGCTGGTCGTCACCGACCCAACTACTGGTCCGGCGGTATCGGGTTTATCAAGGGGAGAGCGGACGGGATCCCGAGTTTTCCAGATCCTATGGTCGTATGTGATTGAATAGGGAGTTATTACAACCTATATACCCAAGTACCTACCAACCTTAGGCAGACTAAGTACCTAACATAGGTCACTCGCTCATAACTTGTTACCCCCTTGAATTCCAATATCTCCAACTATACGACTACACAAGGCATAAGACATAAAGAACCGTTCTTGGATATATCCATCTTAGAACAAAGGTATTCAGCTCACCCTCAAGCATCATATCGTGCCCATCCTAACCTAAAAGTACCTGAGGTATCCAACCCCACAGTCATACACACATAACGACAATCTCATGTCCTGGGTTTACAATAGAATCACATTTTATATTGGACTGCCATGGCAATCCTCTCAGCAAAAGCTGTCATCCTACCGGAACGCCATGCTCATGCAATGCCCCAACAGCCGCACATAGCTGTTCCTCCCCGTCGCTCTACATTATTTCCACATGCTCTTCATATGCGGCCTGTTCGTTCCGCGTGACCATGTCCATGTCCAATGTCCAATCCTCCTCCGCCAATTCGATAAGATACCTAGGGAGCCTCTTAGTATTTAAGCGACTTCTGACCCTTGTCCCTACCAATGGGATCCAGTGTCGAAAAAGCACAGTGCTGATCCTTAATAGCTACCACCTCGTACGTGCCCTCCAAGTTTGCCGTGATCACCTTGCTATGCTCATAGCTGATATCATGTCGCGTCTCTAATATCTGGCTCTTCTGTCCCTTCCGAGCGTTGGTACTACGAGTATATGTGAACTCGAAAGGCGGCGTACCCCAGAATTCAAACAAGATCTCGACCTCGCTTCCTTCGTGGATATCGACTTGGATGACACGCCCCTTGCTAATCCTGACGCTCGGCATGGGGTGAATAGACTTAGTTAGATTAACGGCTGCCCGGCACTCGCTTCCCTTATCGCTAATACTATTGATCGTGAAGTCACCAGGCGATTCGGCAATACGACGGAAGCTGGTGGTTTGGGATTTGGCCTTCATCTGTTTGCCGGAAAATTCGTAGTGTACTTCAAAAGGAGGTGTGCCCGAAAGCGTGTAGGCGATGCGCTCACCGACGCAATAATCGGATCGCTGCTCGAGAGGGTAGATAGATGGCGCTTCATAAAGCTGAATATGAACCACTCCACCACCGCCTTCCGTCTTCTGCTGGCAACCACGGGCATCGCGTACCTTGCGGATTCTAATCTGCTGGCCACCAAGCTTTAGGTACTGCCTGGGGATTTCGATGGCGTAATTGTTGGTCTGGATGTTAGGAATCCTGAATATCTCGGGTAAATTCCCAGAATGCTGTTTAATTTCGACTTCGACATAGAATGGTGCTTTGCCTTCTAGCCTAATGGGAATCGATTCTTGCGGGCTGTAATCAGACATGCACATCTTGAATGTTTGACCGGGTTTGACAAAGGAAGCGAACGGCTTCGGGTTAATCGTCTGCTCCAGTGTGAGAGGCTGGGATTTTTGCTTGTCGTTGTAGAGATTGTCCGACAGGCCAGAAAACGTGTAAGTGTATAGTCCGGCCTTAGCTGTGTCTAGGGCGATGGATGCCTTCCCGAGAGCAGCGTCGAACTCTTTTCGGGCCACCGAGCCCGAACCTGCCCTCGGCTTATGTTTGATTTCGTATTCCACATGATACGGAGGCGAGCCTAAGATCCACGTTAGCATAATTCAGGGGTTATAGAAACATAAAAGTAGCTTACCTTTAAGTGAAACTTCAAATCCATCCACGTCGCCCTCGCAGACGTCTCTTTTGATGAATTTATTTTCCTTATCTGCGGGCTGGATCGATTCGCTGGGCGAAAACGACAGCTCGGGACGCGGATACCACTTAACTTCAAAACTACTAGCTTGGGGATTAATGATACCACTGCACCCATGATCCCTCACATCAATAATTTCGTAGATGCCTCGTTCCTTAGCTTCGATGAAGTCGTTGCCAGTCTTCGCAATGCGGACTCCGGGTTCCTCAGAAGTACTGTTAAGATTGCGATAGCTCACTATCCATGGCCCATCACCGGACAACTTCAAGGGAAGACGGGCCGCAGCGGCTTCAACAACCGTAGTTGTCCTCTTACCATCAAGAACACCAAATGCTGCCCGCGGTCGCTGGCGTCGCACGGAGATCTTGGCCTCTTCCTTGAGGAATATGCGGCATCCTGTCTTATCTCGGATACTCTTAAGAGCCAAGGTGTACTCGCCACCGGTCGATAACGGAGCAGTTTCGATGGTGAAGGTATCGCTTTCGATGCCAGTCGCTTTCTCAGACCTTCTTTTACCTTCGTGTACGAGCTCCCACTCGAGCGTGAAAGGACCGTCTCCGAGAAGAGCCACGTCAAGTTTGACTGGCTGATCCAGACAAGCATTGATGCTACGGCGGTCTGACTTGAAATACGCTGTCGCAGGCGGCTTGACGTTCTGCTCCAAATAATATTCATCCGACAAAGGTAGGGGAACAGTGTAAATAGCATCTTCGATTCTCCTAAAGCGATATTGGTAGCGCCCGGCGTTCCTAGGCAGAAGGTCGATCTGTTGTCTGAGGCCTCTGATCTCAACCGTCTCCCTCCTATTCTGTCCAGAATCGCTAGTCACGGTATATGCAACTCTAAAGGGAGGAGTTCCGATCATATCCAGATTCACCCGAAGTCCGATAGAGTTACCAGCACACTTGTCTGGAATCTCCTCGGCCTGTATCGATAATGTAGGTTCAAGAGGGTTGAGCAGTAAGCAAGATGAGGGTTCCTCAATCTCTCCCTCACAAGAGTCACAAGACACAGATTTTAGAGTATACAAACCCGGCGCACTGATCTTGGGTTGATCGTCCACACTCTTGGCAGTAAAAGTACCTACCTCGACAACGTCGCCATGATCACCACTCTTAGTAAGCGTGTTAATTGGCGAGAAATGCCAGGTCAGAGTGTGGGAAACACTATCCGGAGTTTGACCCGGGCGCCCAATCTTGACAGGAAGCTTCGTCGTCTTTCCCTTAGCAACCTTGAGGGGGTTACTAGTGTCGCAGCCCTGGATAGTAGCTCTGGGGCGTTCTCGCACGACGAAATTCTGAAATAGGTGCTTGGGTTTAGGCTTCGCGTCGGGATCCTCAGGTTGAGGATACTGGATAACGTTGCCAAAAACGTCGTGAACTTCGTCAATGGAGTACTGCCACTCCCCTGCGGAATTCATCGACTCGTTCAGGCCTACCTCGACGGTCTGTAACCTGGCCCAGGTATAGTCCTCTTCTCCTAAGGGCATTATAGTCGATCTCTGAGTAAGCAGGGGAGATACGAACCCGTCGGGCTGAAGACTTTGAAAATGGAAACTGTGATCTTTTCCATTGATGGTACGGCTATAGACGATCTTTAAGGGCGGCGTTCCGTAAACATCCAGAGATAAGTTGGATAGATCACCGATACACTTCGTTGCCGACTGCGCCGTACGAACCCGGGCTCTCGGACAAGGAACAATGTATGTAGGCTCAGTAAGTCTTTGAACCTCAAGCTTATACTCATCAAGGACCTTGTTTAGCTGATAAACACCTGGCTTCTTTATAGCAATGTCGTATCTATAAATCCCCAATGCTCCATCTTCGATAGATTTCGCTGACTGCTTGCCGATTTCCCTAATCTCTTTACGGTTGAGTTTCAATACCTCCTGAGAATCTGATTCCAGATCGAAACGAAGAAGTTCGACCTCGACGGGAACTGTAGCGTTGAAGTAGATGGGTACAGTCGCTACATTCTGGCCTTGGCCGAGACAGTAAGGATTCTTTTCAGGATTAAGAAGGGCAGAGCTATCATAACGAGTTAGAAACGATCTACTATACGTACGTAGCACGGTTACCAAGACTTACCCTTCAGGAAGGATATTAATGATCTGCTTTCCCATGATAAGAGAGGAGTTATGCAGAATGCTCGAGACTTTGACATTGTGCTCAGAGATAGCGAGTTCCTTGTCATAGAAGACCTTAACCAGACCGAGAAGCCAGGAATGCCAAGGCACGGGAATGTTAAACATTAGAAGCCAGTTAAATACTAGATGGCCAAAGAAAATCATAGAAACTGTCGGTGCGGCCAGCTCCAACCAAGGTATACGCATCGAAGGTAAAGAGAAGAAGAAAATAAAGTCAAAGATGACCCATTTACAGAAAAAGTAGAATGAGCCGCCATTATCCTCTAATATCTGTATCCAGTCATAGAAGCGCCACCCTAGAAGGGCTACGTAGATGGCGAAGGCATAGAATCGCTGGGTCGGTGCGTCGATAATGGTAGTAGGGATTACCGGTTGACTATTCGGAGCGGAAGTAGGTTGGCTTTCGGGAGCAGTTGGTAAAGAAGTTCGAGGCTTAGCATCTTGTGCCTGACGTGATCTTTGAGTTCTAGCAGCCGGTGTTTGAGGGAAACCTCCAGCGCCCACGCGCGGCGTCCCAGGATTCATTGCATACCGCGATGGTGACGAACCATCAGGAGCGGAAGAAAATATCGACCAAGTTGGTAAATTGGTTGATCGATTGATTGGGCAAATGGAATTTTTTTTGGTTGGGAGAATAGACAAAGTGTCAAGATATATTGACTTAAATTCTACCAGTAAAGGTGTTTAATTAAGTCAAATATATGTTGTTTTTAACTTTGTCTATGTTGTCGAGCCAGCGCAAAAGAGTGAGGTATGTAAATACCTTGTTGAGCTCGTCGAATAGGCGAGTGGGCAAGAGTGGGCGGAAATTTTAGGGTTGATCTGGCAATAAATACAAGCAACATCACGACGCGGGCGCGTTTAGAAATTCAGAAATTCTAAATTTTTGAATGGTGCCAAGATTTTTTAACTGTCACATGCAGCTGTTTGCCAACCGTTAGCATTTCTCGGAAGCTCCTTTTTTCCTTATCTGGAGCTATGACCTTCTGTCAATTGAAGGTAGCAGTTATAGTGTAGCACTATTATAGCGTGGGGCAGGTGGGATAGGTATCCAAGTAAAGTAATCCGTACAGACGGAAAAGTTTAGACGTTTTAGAGCTTTGTAGGTACATCCACTAGTTAAAAGTGGGTACATAACGTTGGTAGGGAACGGGTAGCTACATCATAAGCTATAGCTACAGGTACATGCAACCAATCTTAGGTACTCCTATACCTATTACTCCAGTGTTGCATTAAGTACTAGCACATATAAACAATCAATTACACAGTCAAAAGACTGCTATGGACATCATCCATCAATTCCCTTTAATCCAGATGTATTCCAACAGTAAAAGTGTAATCAATTGATAATATGAAACTGTTTAAAATATAATATTATCAATAGATAGTCGGAAATTATTCCGTTACATCAGCTTCATCCCCTCAATTTGATCACATCACAGGTGACATCGACACAGCTCAACCATATCTCAACCTCTCCTAGCCGAGCCAACCTCAACAGATACAAAGAGAACAATGACTAAAACAGGTACCTATTAATCTATACGGTGAATACGAGCAGAGCTTGTATTATAAATGAATTAAAAAGAAATAAGAAGGAAAGACGCAGGGCATGCCACGTATCAGGCATGTGTTCGTAGAGGTATATCAAACCACTGCCTTTGTGTTTCCCAACCTTTAAAACCCCTGAGTCATTTATGCAAAGAATACCTAATTAACATATCCAGCTCACAGCCGGTATAAAAATACAGCAGGATGGGGAACATAATCCCTGATAAAAACTCATACTGTTCTTATAGCCTTACTTGAGCCTCAACTATCCTTGGAGCCAGTGGATGTAAGTCAATGTTTATTTTTTTTAACCAAGAAATATAGGTATACATACCTTATCTATATGCATACATAGGTATATATCTTACTGATAAATTAAGTACAGGTCTGCATAAATAAATAAATATTTTTGCGGTTGTCGTTTCCTAGATTGTTTTAGTGAGGCTTAAATTATCGTCCACAACATCTCCGCCATCTACATTTATATCTAACATCTCACTGCCACGCCTTATTGCCAATTAATATCCACACTTTACACTTTCCTCAACACAAATATCTACCTCTTAATCTTATCGGTTTAGGAATAAGATCCCCGGAATTTATTTCGTTTGAGAAAATTCCTAAAATCCATACTCAATTCCTACAAGGCATTTTTTGACGGCTTGCCTTATCCAGTCTTCTCATTACACCACTACCAAGCACATCGCAGTGCCATCTACCATCTTTGCTCTTGTGTTACATAACACTACTTTATCAAAAGTGAGGGCTCGGGTTGGATTATTTTACTATATTAATGGCAGAACCTGAGCAAGTTGGGACACCTCCCGTGTCTCCAGACAGCGTGCATAGCAATGAAGCCAAGAATACCGACACGCCCAATAACGGCACGCGTCGTTCAGGTAGAGCGACAAAGGCACCTACCAAGTATGATGAGGAGTATGTCATTCCTGCTTATAAAACACCTATCCAGCCTGCTATTCCATCAGCCCGCCCAAAGCGCAAAGCAGCTCTCATTGCGAAAGAGAACATCATTCCCGAAGATCCTCGTCCACTCCTAGAAGCAGCCCTAGATCGAATGTCCCAGAACGAGCGGAAGGAATATGGAGGTTGGGTAGAACTTGAATCTGAGCCTGTAAGTTGTGTAGCCAATAGATTCGTCCCTACTTGTTTAGTTGACCTATCTAGGGATTCTTCAATGCCATTCTACAAGAACTCGAAGCTAAGGACTTCAAAGTTCAAGAAGTGTACAGTCTGGATCCAGATATACTAGAATTCCTACCGTAAGATTGGTACCCCATATCATCGAGATGGCAATGCTAACCAGAGCAGTAAACCCGTTCATGGTCTCATTTTCTTATTCCAATATGATGGATCTGATGAGCCAAGAAATGAGGTGAACCGTCAGGAGTGTCCTGACTATCTCTGGTTTACTAATCAGGTATGTATTTCTCCTTAAGCCTTTGGACTATATGTCAACTAACAGACTTATAGACGACGGCAAATGCTTGCGCTACCGTAGCGCTCATGAACATCATAATGAATGCTCAAGACGTCACCCTCGGTATGGAACTCCAGAAGTTTAGGGAGTCGACAAAAGAACTACCACCTCCCCATCGAGGCAGCTCCCTCGACAAGAATGACTTTATCCGAAGTGTCCATAATTCCGTTGCAAGGTACAACTACACCTCCTGTTTTTTCTTAAAAGTTATCTAACCTAATCTAACCTAATCCAACAGACGAATTGATCTCCTCTCCGAGGATCTATGTCTTGATAACAAGTATGAGGAGTCAGTAACGGTGAAAAAAAGAAGAACGCAAAAGAAGTCTACCCGTGCTGCACGCAAAGGGCTTGTCGAGACAAACTATCACTACATCGCCTATGTTCCCGTAAACGGCCAGGTGTGGGAACTCGACGGCTTTGAAATGAAGCCATTGTGTCTTGGTATGTCCTCTTGTTAGGAATAAAACATCTCAACTTTTTACTAATTAATGATAACCATAGGTCCTATTTCGGATTCATGGATCGACACCGCAAGCACGGCGATTAAAGAGCGTATGACGCGCAATTCAGAGATCCCAGATTTCAGCCTCTTAGCCATCTGCCAATCTCCTCTCCAGACTCTAGCCAAGGAGTTTGCTACCAGCCTAGCCTGCTCCCATGCTTTACACGAGCTCTACAGCGGAAATACCAACTGGACCGTCCAGGACCCCTTCAAAGCTTTCCCCGCCTCTCATCTCGCCCAGCGAAACCTGACACGTGAATATATCACATCTCAAGAGCTTCCGGATTTGTACAAGATCAGGACAAGCCACCCGGATTTCAACTCAGATGAGGCGTCAAAGCTAGGGAAAGAACTAAGAACGGAGCAGGATTCGCTCGACGCCCAGTACGTTGCTGAGTTGGCGACGGTTGATGAGGCGGTGGATATAATACGTGGACGGCAGCGGGATTACACTCCTGCGATACACCATTGGGTGCGGGCTCTTGCTGAGAAGGGTGTGCTAAGGGGGCTGATCCAGGATATGGGGTCATGATAGTTAGTTGAATAGGATTTGGTATGCAACGATTCGTTGCTAATACGGACGAAGGGGGGACATATGAGACTCGGTCCGTTCTTAGATTACTAGCCCGATGATACTACGACTATGAACGCCAGCATTATGACCAATACATACTTAATACAGGAAACGTAGGGATTTATTATGGAAGATAGGAACATTAATTCAGAGACTACGTATCTCGTCACGAATTCACAATGTCCTCCACCGTAGGACTAAGACATATATGCAGCTTTAGTGAAGAAGACGATAAATGCCATCCCAATATTGAGCTATGACTTGCTCCGAACGGGCGTGTTCTTTAGATAGGGGGTAGGTAAGATCGGTTGAAGAGATCAGGTACTCGAGTCGCATAGATAATAAAGCAGATATAGGGGGTAGCTATGTTAGATGGCAAGATTACGAATACCGAACCTGCAAGTTGTGCCATATACCCCTTTATTCTTCTTTTTTACGTATGCTTGGTTTTATCCAGAGGCGGTATATCTCAGTGCATATGCCCAAGTAACAGGTACCTAAAACAAATGCAGTTATATCTAACCTAGATATATTTCCTTAGCTGAAATTATCTTGTATGGGTGCCTAGTATAGAGGATATTTATTCTCTTGTATTTACCTACCCAAGGTATATCCAAACAATATCGAGCCAATCAAGCAAGCAATCACATCGTCAAAATACACCAATTATCATAAAACAAACGCACTCTTATGTTATATTCTGCTCTGCCGTCTACCATCATCGTTTCTATACGTATGCTCGTCTGCCTATGCGTAATAAATATATGCGTGATATCTCCTATCTTCCCCTCCCCCTCCCCACTCTCCTCTTCCTCGTGAAGCAGTAGTTATGTTTCCTTTCTCCCCCTCCCCCCTTTTCCCCGCTAGCCTCATGGCAAAACACCTCATCGATTAACAAATAAGTAGTAGAGTAGGTATCTATCCTCCCCCGACACTCCGAGCCGAACCGGAAGAAAAAAAAAAAGAAATCTAACCACACGAATTTACCCTTTGCCGTCTACCTGCTAGTACAAGGTAGAGAGGGAGAGAGAGATAAGTGATAGACGGTTATTAGGGCTTAGGTACGTGTAGAGTCTTACTGCACATCAGGCACCCGTGGATCAGGAACATGGCGACAATGGGGTGGACTTCGAAGTTGGTGCCCGCGAACAGCGTGCCGCCGGGGACCTGGTCAAGAACCCAGCCCTTGCTCACCCACCACGCCATCAGTGCGTCGATACCCAGTGTCGTGGGAATAGGAGTGCCCTCGAAGTAGCTGGCCTTTCCGCTTGCGTCCTTGGGGATATCACCGCTGTTCGCTGTGACGTTGAAGCGTGCTAGTCGCGTTAAACCACATAATACGAATGCGGCCAAGAGCACCTGGTCGAGTGTTGTTCGCAGACCGATGCTAAACGCTACGCAAGCTGGGGCGAGACCGAAGGAGATCTGTAGGCACTCAAGTTAGTCAACTGGTTCAGACACTATTGTTTTTCTATAGCTTAGAGTAACTGCTGTAGTAGATAAAGCAGGATCAAGAAGTCTCCGTAAAGTAGGGGGGTAGACAAAACATAACAATATAGGGTAGAACAGGGTATAGAAACGTACCAAATCTGCTAGCGAATCCAACTCCTGACCCATCATACTGCTCTTCTTCCGCCACCTTGCAACCCGACCATCCATGAAATCGAAGAATAGCCCCAGAGGCAGGAACGCAAGCGCAAGGTATACATTTGTCTTGTCCGCGGGGTCGCCAAGGCAGTAGCGCAGGGAAGAGAAGACGGATAGGATACCGCAAGCACCTATATAGTGAAAATAACGATACTCGTTAGTAACGATTCTCTGCTAGCATTATAATATCGTTTGGTTTTATTATAAAGGGGGGGGAAATACCATTCAGCTCAGTAATGTAGTCCGCCATATGCAAAGCCTTTAGCAGGGAGAAATGGCCCGTAGACGAGAGAAGGTCTTTCTGCTTTTTATATGCTATGCAATGACAGTGTTAGTATCAACATAATCCGATAACACACCCTAGAACCGGGTAGATAACATACAAGGCTCATCCGCAACGCTCGCCTGGTTGACCTTGGCCGCAGCGCCATTGCTCGCACCGCCCGATCGTTTCGACATGCTTTCGTCTGTATCCTTTTATTCTAGCAGCACAAAGTCCCTTATCTCCGCTTCCCTATCCAGTATAGGTACCTAGGTATAAAAGCCCGTGGAAGCTTTTATTCTCCTATTGCGAAACCGCCTATCTATCTATCTTTATCTTCTTTTCTTCACCGAATCTTCGTTGCGAGAAGTCGACAGCGTGGAAAAAAAAAGTTCTCGATAGCTCGGAAATAAAGCTATAAAGTACGGCAAGTATCGATTTACGTGGGTATCGACAGCGGCGAGGTGATGACTATTTGAGAGGAAATAGTAAATAGAGATTGTCGAAAATCTTGGCAGTAGAAAATGGGAAACTTTTGAATCATATGGGCTTTATTTTATTTTATTTTTTTGCTTCGGCAGGCGCAGCATCATTGATGCCGTCATTTGGACACGTTCAGGTCCCGCTAGTCTTTCTTGGGACAAGTGGTTTCCGCCGCGGGGAGGAATAGCGAGCTCTTTGTTGAGGTATCTTTTGTGCTACATTTACATACATGGAGTTACATAAACCAAGGTAACACTAGACCGACATCACTTAATCATCTACTGTTATACATTAGTACCTTATATGTATATAGGCCTCCTGCTAGGTACGTACCTACAATATCTAAATGTAGCATAGGACAAAACATGATCAAGATCTAAAGTCGTCATATTCAATATCTTAGGTTAGTGAAAAGCAAGTTAGGATTCATCAAGTTTCAAGTATTTCCAAGACTAACAATTACCAGGTCGTTTACTATTGACTCGTTTTGAAAAGGAGATAGCTATGTAATTGTTAATTGGCCATGTAACCTCCACCATTCACGACCCAACACGACGCATCTTTCGAATGGCTCTCTTAGAAGCAGAGCACTTTATTAGTTCCTAGGGTTGCTGACTGCCTACTCTATGTACAATGATTCGGACAGTAGCCCCGTCATATCCGTCTCCGTCTCCGTCTTCGACCCTTTACCCAGCTTGACTAATGAAGGCTCTTGTATAAACACTTATTATTTCGCGAGACAACGGCCCCTGCGTGTCTCTCACCTTTGTATGCCTGGAATTGTCCAAATAACTAGCTCAGCCATGGTCCATAAACCCAACCGTCTTGCTTACACCAGAATGATACTGGATAACCCGTCCGTCTTGCTATGCTCACTGAATCAGGTCCAGTCCTCGCCTTGGACGCAGTAATTATGTATGTTTAATGCGAAACGAAGAAACAAAAAGGCCAAGTCGCAAATCCTGTATGCCCGGGGATATAATGCTACGACAAAACGAATATGCAGATGTGGGAATCCGTCCAACCTACCATAGGGGGATTCCCATAGCGATAGGCTGGTATTCTATCTCTAGCGAACACAGCCTCTTCTGTGCTATCACCTTCTGATATCTGAGAAGGTCCTGTATTAAGTATTGTGGTTACCGAGCGATAATAACCGAGAAGCCGTCGATCCATGCTGCGCATGATCCAGAAACGCCACAGACCGTGTAGCCGCGCGGCGGGAGGAGAGTATGACTGATTATTATTGTCAGCAATCTTAATTAGACGTTAAAGAGGGTTATATATAACGTACGGAGAGCCACCGTGCGCATTGCCGTAAATTGGCGATTTTCTTCCAAGACTTGTAAGGATCTGGATGCCGTCTATCCACTGTCCCGACCGTACGAAGAAGCCAGTAATATACTCGCCACGGCGAATGTCTAGGAGAAGTCAGAATTAAGAGTCAACGGTGAAGAACTGTACTAGAACCTACCCATTTCGAACGTATCGCCGCCAGGTTTACCTCCACGTTTCCCAAACAACTGGCTGGATTCATCGTCGTAGAAAAATTCAATACCATCTAAAGCAAACCCGTGATAGACCACGACGCGGGATAGCACTCGCGTTTTTTGTGTTGCACTTGTAAAAACTAATTCTTGCGGTTGACTTCCCTCCATTTGTGAAAAGCCGAGTTTGTCACCACGATAGGCTGATTTGCCGAAAGACAGCTTTAGAGAAGATGCTTTCGAGCACAGGCTATGAAAGTCGTTGATATCGAGGTTTCCGCCGCCATGCGATTTGATGCAGACCTTCATCTTCGAGCGTCGCTTATTCTCGGGTAGTCTGTCGCGGAGCTCTTGTTCTGTAAGAGTTAGGTTACGCTGTACGGAACCGTTCTCTATCGGATATTCGATCCACGTATGGCATAAGTCATCGCCCTCCGGGTAGATTTCTATAAATGAAACTCCTGTAGCTGCTGTGATTTGAACATGTCCATTCTCAACCGGCCAGGCCTGGACACTTGCGTCGGAGTTCAAGATGGGATCATTAGGTAGCTTAAAGCAAGGGTGACTGCGGAATCGAAGGCAATCAAGACGGTGCCAGGTACATTCGTCAGCCTGAGATACTGGCCCTCCCTTCGACTTAGTCCGAGTAGAGTAAGCCTCACGAGATATGAATGAACGGTTCAACTTGACATAGTCTCTTAGCATGACCCCGCTCTCCTGATGCGGACATCCGAAAAGGTGGCCGGTTTCGTGGAGGTGGGCGCCGATGCCAATATTGGCAGCTTCCCAGGAGCTTCCAGACTCGTTACAGTCGTTTGCAACAAATTTGGTGTCAGTAGGTGTGCAGTCGGTAAACGCTGGTACGACCTCTTCGAAACTTGTAGGGTAACTCTGTAGACAGTGAGAGCCAAAAATGGCCATGTGCAAGTCGCCAGCATTCCCTCCTAAAGCTGCATGACCCGTGACGACCTTCGAATTCGTATCCCAATGAGCGTCTAGAAGTAACACTGAAACATGTTGAGTTTGTCCTGGGAGAGGCTTGAAGTAATTCTTAAGCGCGTCAGCGGCAATGCCATAAAGGTCACCTTTTTTAGTCGCCTTAGAATTCTGTTGTGCCAAGTTAAGGTCCCTGATTTCGGCTAGGGTCTTATCTGATCGAATAACGTGAATACGTGCTTCTGATCGCATCGCGCCCGTTTCTCTATCTCGATAGTTGCAGGTGCCTGTTGTCCATTCCTCTTCGAACCTGAACACCCGTCGGCCGAATTTATTTCTCCACATCTGCTCGGCAGTAAATGCTTGCCAGAGGTAAGCAGCCATACGGAATTTACGAACGGCTGCATCGATATCATTTCCTTCCTTTTCAATCCGAGCAGGGACAGCATCAAATGTACCGGGAGAGTCTTTCGCGAGTAAGATGGCAAGCTGTAACGGCGGCGAGTTCATAGGAGGGACCATGTGCACGGTGATATAAGAGGAATGTATCGGGTTTGAAGAGCCGCTGTTTGCGAGTTTTGGGCTCGAGAAGTCGAGACGTAATCTGTTTGCGCCGGGCATGAGATATACCAACGCTTTAAACTGCGACTCACAAACCGGCCAATACGTGGGTGGGAATCCATCGTCTAGTCTGCAAACTGTAACAGTCCCTTCCGGTACCCGTTGACCTGCTTCTCCGATCATACCGTTGATAAGAAGGATTTTCTGCGAGACCTGCTTTTTAATTAGCATAAATAGGTATATAAAACAACATCCGAACTAGAAATCTGCTTGATTCTGCTAATTGATGAGTTCGAAAACGCTCAAGGGCATTTTAATTTTAAATAAATGAAATTTCACCATACCCAGGTATTTTCCCCAATGTTAGTAATTCGAGGGGCATACTGCGATACGGGGAGTGAAGATTTGCCGTTGAGCACAGGAGATCCCAACCCAGCCATTCCTGATACACTATATCGGTTGAAATTGGGCTGAGGTGGTGGCCTATTAGGTGGAATTGGAGGAGGTTGCTGCTGGTCTTTTGGTTGCGTGGGAAATCCTGGATCGGATTGAGCTGTTATCGAAGGGGGAGTGACAGAACCGTTGGTGGGAGTTGTATTCTGACTCTGGTGTTCCTCGTAGCTTGAACCGTCAGTAGAACGATCGGTACGGAAACTAGCTCGCGATCGTCTTCGAAATTCCTTGAAGGTTAAGAAAGAGGGCGCCATGACTGGCAGCTTAACCTCAGTGACCGCCGTATAAGACAATCAGGAGATGCCAATTGGTATAGGACAAATTTTGGTAACAGAGCTTTATCTCGTCGGTCGGTATAGCTCGTTAAACTGCCAAGGTAGCCTCGTCGGAGCTATTTTAGGAAAGGGGAAGCAGACAGACGCAATTAGTCTAACTAACGAAGGCTAGTGAGCTTTCCTAGAGCGAACGAATAAACTAGTCAAGTTGATTAAAGTAGAGAAGAAAAAAAGAAGGTAGGTCAAATATTCACTCGGAGGTAATGAAGCGAACGTTGCGTGGCTGGGCGAGATAAAAACGATAGTGGAATGTAGATAGATCATCAAGGATAGGCTATTGTGAAGGACATTAGGAGCTTGGACTTTTGATGATCAAAGAAGTTAGAAGTTACATTAGCCAGGCTCTATTAGAACTATTCTTTTCAAACGTCGATGGGTATAAAAAAAATAAGTTGAGTTAAAACGTATCGTATCTTCTGCCAACTCTTATGACAGAAAATAAGTTGTTTCTAAGTTGTAGGGCCGATTACTTGGGCCAACCGTATCCTGGTGGTAGAACAACAGGCGGGTTGGTTGTGTACAGAAGTTTTGGGTTATGTTAAATGTAGGTAGTCAGGTAGTCAGCTAGATTGGATAGGCGATCATTTAGCGATCATTAGCGATCATAGCTTTTGTAGATTGTAGATTGTGGATTGACATGTGTGTGGTCCGCGGGAGGGACACGGGCGGGATGTTGACGAATTGACGAATGATGATGACGTCGCGGCTGATAAGTGGGTAAGTTTGGGTAAGTTTAATACTGGTTTGGTACAGATTAAAGTGGATTATGAAACTAGTGGGATTCTTTTGACTCCCTGCATGTTGGAATTGCATTGAATTTGCATCGGTCCATACCTTCCAAGGAAGGCCGCTTGGCCTATTTGGAAGTTGAAAAACTTGGATACGAGAAGTTGCTAACCAAGAACCACTGAATCAACCCGTAACTTCCATGTACCGGTAGTCATAATGTTACATTTTATATGTTTATGTCAGATACGTATTTCATACATAGTTACATAAACCTACACTCATCCGTATCAATGATAGACAACTTTATAGGTACCTAACGTTAGGTACACAAACAACAACAAAAAAAAATGAGAAACGTTGAGATGGCATAAGCTGACACGCGTACTTACACCTCCGAATATTGATATATATGAGCAGCCACGATGCATACTTCGGGCTAGAAGAAGAGGTTTTCGGAACCCTTCGGACTGTGCTACCCGTAGATAGGTAAGTGGCACAGTACACTAATGCGCATGTTGGTGAACAAGGTCTACTTAGAAGAGCCGGGCCAAGGTTGTAGTGCATTACAAGGATGTCGATATAAATATATTCTACTAGTTTTTATTTGGTGATAGGGCAAGTGTTGATGATTTTGTCTAATCTATCATCACGAACGATGAACGAGACCTCTAAATCATTACAAGACATTTATATGAAAGCGATAGATTTAATCAATTAGTTGTCGGATGTTTTTGATATATGGTCAAGTATTACAGATCTCCAGATCGAAATGCGAACTACAGCGATTGATGGAATGATTATCTTGTGCGCAGTAACACTTAGAATAACACTTTATAGCGTAGTTTTTATACTATTAGAAGATGCAGCCAGCCGGTGATAGATTTTGACGGGCTGCAGCTGCAAAATGCACATCGTATAAGATGAGGCAGGCCGGTTAGCTGTTACGAAGGCAGGAAACCGTTTAATATAAGAATTATACAACTTTACTAATTGCTTGACCCATCGTTTTGATTTGCATTGATTCGCAATAATTCTACTATCATAGTGGAGAGCCTTTATTTGAAACCCAACATATAAATTGATCTGTAGTTGATATCGCGAAGCCAAGAGGTTATCAGAATAAGAGCATGTTAAGAGATTATAGGCTTTAAAAGGTGGTGGTTGGTATGCAATAATCGGATATTCGACCCCCAGCAGCCCAGCAGCCCAGTAAGCAGTATCAATTAAAAGCTTCGGTGTTCCGCATCTGCTTGTCCGGCCCGGCCCGGCATAACTCAATCTTGTAAAGTTGCCTTTCACATGGCGTCTCATATCTGTATGTCAATTCTCAAAATACTATAGATACGAGTATAGTCTTTAATTTCTCACTGCACTTTTAAGTTGATACTTATTGAAAGTAGAAACTCGGATGCTCTCTCTCCAAAGATAGGCACCCAATATTTTGGGCTCTAAACGGAGTATACCCATATGTTCCCCATGATCTCCGTGATCAACATCGCTGCATGTCCGTGGCATGTTTACATGCCGACCTTACAATGTAACCAATTAGTCGAGTTGGAGATGAATGCGTTTCATCCGACAAAACTCGTATTCTCTATTCTACCGTCCCAGCCCACGGCGAATTCGCACTAGTTATCGTGTCAAGACTCAAGACTTCGTATCACGCGTTTGCTATTCAAATTGACAATGCAAGATACGAAGTTTTCGATTTTCTCGAATACTTAAAAGTCTACACGGTATCTTTATGTGCAGGCTTTGAAGAATTTAGTAAGTAGATAGATTGCGATTGCTCCATTATATACTTACTGTATCCCATATATTGATCTTCAATAATCAATCATTTATAAGACTCCTTATAGCACAAGCGCAAAACTAAGACTATTCAACAACTTAGCCAAGTGTTTGATCAATAGAAAGATTATTTGAGTTGATGATTTGTGAAACAAGAGAGAGCAGACCGTTTTGTGCTTTGAGACGCTTTAAGTGCTTGCAGCAAAATGCGGGTTTGGCACGTTTTCGTAGCATTTAGCCTCGCTTTTGTCTGACAGGGGTTTAAATTGGCTGCCATTTTTGGATGAGCGGTCGCATGCCACGAAGCTCTCCATCTCCTATGTTCGATGAGATCAGACCATGATAAAAGCTCGGCCATTATCTTAGAAACTTTCTTCTTAATTTTTTCCCTCCTTGAAACCTAGGCACGGAAGTTTTCATATGGGTCTTTGATAAGAATAGGAGAGCCCTATGACATCGACATACCTAAACAAAAAAGGGGTCTCGAAATCTCACATAAAATCCTTTTTTACTAAGACAGTGTTGTAAATCCCACCATATCGAGTCTATATATGTTTTATTTCCAAATATCAAGGTAACCCGGCAACTGACCGTACCTATTGTACAAAATAGGGATGTTATTAAGAAATGCGATGTCTAGAGAACGTTACTATATTCGTCCTCACCTTGTCTAATAGGATATGTGAACTTGCTATCTCATTCCGATCAGCTTATAGCAAAGTTGTCCATATGAAGCTTCTCTTGTTTGTTAGCCTTGAACGTTTTCTACCGTCCCCTTTTTAAGCTTCGCCTGTTTAAACCCAATCAAAAGTGAGAAGACAAAAAGGGCGGACAAACGCTGGTAAGCTTGTCTATACATAGGCTTACAGCATAAACGCCAGCCTATATACTTGTTCGCAGACCATCTGCAGCCTACCAGGTTGTCGCAGAAATAATTGGTTGTAAAAGATATATATCCTAGTTGCTTAAAAGTAATTATATTGGCTTATGATATCTAACCGGTAGATTAGTGGTCACAATAAAACCCCTAAAGACGTAGCTTACCGTGTAGTGGGCGCTGCATCAGTGCATCGGTGCATCTGGCCCTATGAGATTCCGGATTTGCGCTGAAAGTTAGTGACCTAACAGTGAGCTCATCCCAAGGCAGCCATGGGGTATCCTAGCTCCTTTCACTTGGAAATCAAGGGAAGCTGAGCTCGGGCTTTAAGACTTCCTAATTTCCAATATTGCATCAGCCGGTTTCCACGGGGAAGGAATGCCATAAGTTAGCCCAAGTTAGCCCTGTCCAGGTTAGCCTAGCTAGCATAATTGGCTTAGTCAAGCACTTTAAGCAACAAAGTACCGTTACTTTGTACCTTATGTAGACGGAACTAATTGCTCTTTCCTAACTTTTAGTGCAATTGCCTATTTTCCTTGCGGGTATCCAAGATCGTTCGTACCTCCGCCAACATGAACTAATTAACTTTTTTTCCCCTACACACTTCATACGTACTTACCTCACTGTTGTCGTTCATTACACCTATTACCACAGTATACAAACTATACTTTTTTAGTTCTTCTTCGTCACCCCAGACTTTTCATTGCACATATCGACTTCGAGAGCTATCTTAATAAAATTTTGAGACTCAGACGAATCGGTATACTAATAATACCTAATTCCATTCGTTCACGTTCATCTAAACCGTACATACCTATCAACATCCTCGATCCTTCCGAAGCAACCATCAACCCCCCTTCGCTTACACCAGCAAGCGCCTGGCCTACAAGTCGACCCAATCATCCTTACTCCCCGCAATATTTTCTCTACAATCACTTGACAAACGTCACTTACCACTCAGGGGGGAAAATCCAGAGAGAAAAAAAAAGAAAGCTTACGTCTGGTCCAAGCAAAATAGCATGTCGTCGCCGTTGAAGAAACAGCCTGAGGCTGTAGCAGATAAAGTACTCAAGCGAGTGGAAGTTAGCAAGGTATGTTCATAGACTTGGTTCACCTACTGGATGAGCGAAGAGAAATCATGACCTAACAGATTTTTTTTTTTCACATTGATAGATCGCCCGAAGATTACAGGGTCGGTTGGCTCTAGCACAGTTTAAGACGAAGCATGGATGGGAGGACTTGACACTCGATACGATCGAGCCCAAGATCGAAGAGGAAATTCGACGCAGACGCCTTGTCGACGGCGATGTACTCTCCGACTCCTCGTCCAGCACATCAGAACTGCCTTACCCTAGCAGCAGAACTACACTGATGAGCTCCCCGCTCAAGGCCCCTCTCTTCTCAGATGCCATTGGATCTAGCAACGGCAGCACCGGTCATCGAAAACGCACATACAACATGGCTTCGTTTGATATAACCATGTCGAGTCCAGCCAAACGATTTCGTACCTCGCCTACCGCATACAAATCTTTCGAGCCTCCGCATAAGTCATGGAAAGCACATCGTCAACTCACCCAATCTTCTCCTATCAAGCCACGAAGGCAACAGCACTTTACAACTTCTACGGGGCCTGATGTGTCATTTTTCCAAGGTTCTCGCCGCCCCTCTGTGGATTTTACTGCACAAAATTTTGCAGCACATTCAGACGATGACGACGACCTATTACCCACACATTCATTTATGATTAACCATGGCCATGGTCATGACCACAATCGGACATCACCTCCTCGAACACCGCCTATGCGTAGTAGATCGATAAATCGCCGAAATAAGGATAGGGGTATGGTAAACGGTGAGAAGCCGGAAGATGGCGCAGATCTGTTGCTATATCTAGCAGCATCTCCCTCACCGGCAGTACATTCGACAAGGACTCGAATGGAGCCTCCCTCTACGCCACCTCAGAAGAAAGACCTCGCATTGCCGTCTTCGATGATGACAACGCCTGGAGGTGGTACCCTCTTCCCCACAACACCAGGCCAACCCTTTGACATGTCAGATTTTGTCAATATCACACCCAGCCCTGCGCAGAAGCCATGGAAGACACCGCTGTCGCTTAAGACGCCTACAGCGAAGACGCCACTGAGCGGGGCACGACGACGCTTAACGTTTGATGACCCAGCACTCGGGCTATAAAGCTGCCTCAGCTAAATATATGCCCAATCACTTGCAATTTACGTCGGGATAAATATGTACCTACGAACGACGCTACATTCCTTTTTCACTTCTACATCTACACCTTTTCTTCTCACCTTGATGTGCACACGCACACATGACAATACCCGGCTTTCGCCATGATCACTTAGTATGTTTCCCAAGAGGTATGGATGGATGGACAGCAAGGGCTGGTATGCTTGTACAACACATACAGGACACGGACTACGTTTTTTTTTTTCTTTTCTCCATATTGTTGTCTTTTAATCCCGAGGTCAGCAACGTGGAATGCGTGGAGTCTATTGGTCACGGCACCCATTGTTTTTTCGGTAATGCTTCGCACGATATTGCGCTTCACACACCCCGCGTACGGGTATTTTTGTTGTTGTTTTTGTTTTTTTCTCCTGCGAGATAAAGGAAGCTATTGCGTATGCGTAGTTTTCGACGATAGTTTGATGGTATGGTATGGATGGACGGCATGGAAGGACGAACGGGCAAATGAAACTACGTAGCAAGCTGGTGTAGTGTGGTATAGGTAACTCACTCACAGACAGACAAATAAACAAACAATGCGAGTCTTTTTTTGTTTCTGCAAATCCGATCCGGGGAGAGTAAACAATAGAAAACAAAACAGTAGCCATTCAATTGATCAAGTAATTGGTCATTGAAAGTAAAAAAACATAAGACTAATTCGTTCTGTTGCAGTAGTGCTGGTGAATTGTTCGAGTCATGTAGGTTGGGAGGTAGGTAGGTATGTGATGTTATGGAAGGGATGCATGTGACGACAGTAGGATGCCTTTTTTTGTACGGGGCAGACGCGTATTGATGTTAATTGCGCGGCGGGAATTTTCGCGTTTTCGCGTAAGGGAGGGGAGGGAAGGGCCAATGAGATTGGGAATTGGGATGGGGAGGGTACTTAGGTGAGGTACTTTGTGTACCTAATGTACATTTGGGAGTTCTAAGTGGTGTGGTGGGGTAAGTTGGATGAATGGATGGATGGATGGGTGGGAGGGTTGGTGGATGTGTGTGGTGAGAGATGGAGAGCGGGGTATACGTATTGAGGTAAGTAGGTGGATAGGTAAATAAGGTACCTATGCTTAAGAGATCCTTTTATGAGATGAGATGAGATGAGATGAACGGTAGAAGGAGAGAGATAGAGGGTTACTTTGAGTTGGGAATTCTCCGTTTGGGATGGGGAAGCTTTGAGATTGGCTTGTATTATATATAGGTGCTTATATGAGGTACCTATTATGTTTATATGTAGGTAGGTAGTTAAGTAGTTGATGAAGATGTCGAAAGCTTGATGTATTATTTGTATTGTATTTATATAGATGTATCTACGGTTTAATGAACAAATAGTAGGTACCTAAGTAAATATATCAGAGGTATATACCTATAAAGAACAGTGGTTAGTAGAGGTTTAAGGCGTTAGATACAAGATGAACTACATAAATATAACCAATTCTTCCTTACAATCAATAGCATATGTACAATTATTGCTGGCATCAATAAAAAGTACTAAGAAGTACCTCTTATATCTAAATACAGCTGTGTTACATAATACCAACCCATAGGGTCTTCTTTAAGGAGACCTGACTAAAAGCTCTTCATCTCATCCCTATAATAAACAATAAAAGAACGAATATTAAAGCAATTATGAATTATCTAGTTTACCATCTCGGATACCTCATATGAGAAGCAAAGCTAAAAGACTATTATCATATAGTATCCCATACTCATGTTTAAATACCTACTAACCTCACCCTTCCACCTACTACAACAGCAGAAACAAAACCTCATTACACAGCACCATCCTCAAGCCAAGCGTCTAACGTCAAAACTTTTGATTCGGCTACGCTATATATTCTCATCAACACAATATACCCAGGTACGTACTCCATCCAACTAGCTATATATCGAGCCGTACGTGTAGGCAGGCCTTGTAGTAATGTACACTCATCATCTCTTAATTCCCTCGCTTGGGTATATGGGACGGGGAACAAGGATCCCCATGTCGAATAGCAATAACAATAAAAAAAAAGAAAACAGATTCTCTCTCTCTCTATATATATAGGGGTTAAGTAGGGAACACGCCATTTCCTTATCCCTTCCCTATGGTATCATAAGTGAGTGTGTGGTTGCTGGGTATCATGGATCCCAACAGGAAAAAAAAAAAAAAAAAGAGCAATGCACCGTCAAACTCCGAGCTACCCTTTTCGATAACTATGCTATAAGGTGATCAAGCTGCAGCGCTTGCTTCATGGATCGTCATCTAACCCTCTCCCCGTTCTATGCTATACGCTATGTTTACTGCGTCTTTTATGTTTTAGGTAAAGGTATGCTGCTATAGGGCCTTGCCTACGCTACCCTGGCTCTTCCCGCTTTTTGTATCGGAATCCCGCCGCTCTAGTTGGCTATTATTTGGGCTTAGCGTATATCGCCCAACTACCGGACCAATATCTGGCCCCGGTTCGCTCCAGCCTATGTTGCTCACGCCGCTGGAGTACTTCGATGTAAAGCTTGGGTTCCTCACATGGGCTTGTTGCGGAGCATTAGGCGCGCTCCCGATATCAGTGCTACTGCGGCTGGCTCTGCTGGCCCATCCCGCGGTAGCATCCATACTAGAGTTGGCGCTCCGTAGAAAATCCGGGCGATCCAAATCAAAGGGGTCGGAGCGGAACCTGTTGCGGCGAGTACCGACGGTGCCCACGCTCGTGCGGTAGCTAGCGTTGCTCGTCTGGCGGCTGATGCTACCATTCACGCTGTGACTGTGGGAGTGCTGGGAATGCTGCACGTAGGTTGCGATCCCTCCATTTACGGCAGCCGTTGGGGCCCTAATAGCGTGAGAGTCCGAAAACGGATTATTGACGGCGGAAACTACTAGAGGCGTAGCCTTGGCCGTATTGTTGCCTATAGCGTTTACATCGGAAAAGGGGTCAGCTGAATCGAAATCTAATGCTAGGCCGCCGAGGAAATGTTGTTCGTTGCCCATGGATGTTGAGCGGCGTCGATTGCCGTTTGCACTTCCTTGCCCCTTTTCTAATTCCCGACCGGGTTGTAAGCCCAATGTAGGCCCAGTGTTCTCCGACTCGCGACGTAGTTGCCAGTTAGAATTCTCATCCTCCGTTAACCGACTCCACCAATCCACGGGACGGCCCTTGTCAGTCGGTGGTACTGTGTTCGAATTATTTCGGCTATGTGCTGGCTCGGGTAGACCAAATTGGGAATTCCCGCGGTCAAGGTTAACGCTTGGGCTCGGACTACTGCTACGCGCCACAATATTGCCAACCCGTCCACGCAGTCTTCTATACCTAGCCTCGACGGTCGCCCAGAGCTTCTGGGGAAGCGGTGTCGGACCTAAGGACGTCCGGCTTATGAGATAAGGACCCTTCTCATTACCGCGGAATGTTGCCCTCGGGGACATAGGCGACAACATACTATTCCTCCGTTCTTGCCTCCTCTTCCGCCAGAACCACATAATGAATGCTATGAACGAAATTGCCATGACCCCACCAGCCACCCCAGCAGCTATAGCTATCGTCTGCTGCGTAGTGATAGCATTGCCAGTTGCTGCCTTTTGGGTGCTTGGTAGCCCTGTCCCTTTTGTCCCCGTCTCTGCTGAGGAACTGGAAGCTTGCGTTATCCCTATCGTCGGTAATGAGGTATCTTCAACAGAACTAATTAATGAGGAAGAGTCTACCGGCTGTTCAAATAACGAGGATGTCGGTTGTGCAGGATCATCATCCTGTCCCGCTGAACTCGACACTTGCGTATCTAGTTGAGTAGGGGATGGAGTAGTAGCCGTGTCGATAAGGAGAGTAGCTGAAGAAGAGGTTTCATCGGCGCCTGTTATGGCTGGCGCGGGAGGCGCTGCTGGAATAGCCGGGTCTGCCGACGGCTGCGCTGCTATGGTACTTGTTGGGCTTGAGAAGATTTCCGAAGGGAGCGGAGTTTCCTGTTGGACCGGGTTCGCAATTGCGGGTGGAGTATTGATCACATTCGAACTGGATATGGAAGAGGATGGTAAGGATGATGATGATGATGATGATGAAATTGTAGTTGAAGTTGAAGTTAAAGTTGAACTCGATGAAGATGTTTCCGATGTTGACGTTGATGTCGATGTCGATATCGATGTCGAACTAGGAGCTCCAGGTACTGCTTCGATATGTACTAATTTCGGCACTGCCGTACACCTCCTGCCCTTACGAGTCGTAATGGACGCCATGATCGTGAACTATGAAAAGGCGATACCAGTCGCAAACCGATCACGAAATAATTAGCGCCGCTTTGGGCAAATGAGGTATAGATAAAATGAGGCTGTGAGAATGAGAATGAGAAAAAAAAAGGAGACGGCCGTAGCGGCCGGGCTACGATGATCAGATCATCAATAACGAGTTGAAAAGAATAGAAAAATCCCGTCTTTTCCCCTAGGGAAAACAGAGTGAATTTGGATTAAACGCTCTACGTAATAGTGATGTCTAAGAATGAAGTTCGGAAAGAAAAGCACCACGCCTTGTCGGAAGAAAGCGAGAGAATAGCAAGATGGATGGGGACTACGGCTCACCTGTAACGACCAGGTCACTGAGAATACTATGACCCCCCCTGGATTTTTACCAGCTCCGAGATAACCACATCGCGGACGTGCACTACTACTGTGCTAAGGGTTTGCACGTCCATTAGATTCTGTTGCAAAGGTCATGTCCCTGTATAATATGTTTGGTGGTAAGGATATGGGGAGACAAGATTGGCTGATGTCGACGTTGAAGAAACAAAAACGGTGGAGATGGGTTGGACAAGTTAGACAGGGGTAAACCCCAAAGCGCCGTGTAAAGCAGCGTAGAGGCTCCAATAAGTCGCTTAAGGAGAGTTGATAGCCGTTGATAGCCTCAGAATTCCCTCTTGAGGATGTGGGGTAAAACGCTTGAACCCCTGACTTGTAACAAATCTGAAGCAGCGAGGGGTTTACCCTTCAGCCGCATCGATAAGCCACACCATATTATAATACATAATACATACATGTATCTTATAATACTATTATATAGGAGGTACCTATTTAGAAGATATTAGTAAATTTTGAACGAATATTGAGGTTTTACTTAACATTATTTTTTTAGGTACATTATATTAACGACTTGGATATATTAGTACTAGTGGGGGTTAAGGACTTGTCTCATCGATAATAACCAAGTAGTATTTTAAATATATGTGGATATCCGGGGCCGGAGGCGAGTGAGCTTGGCACGGGTTGAATTGTTAGGGAGTTATAACGTTTAAACACACTAGTGAACCGAGGGTAAAAGATAAATGTCTCCTTTTTCGTTTGTTTGAGAAGCAAATTGGAAGAAAAGAAAACATATCGAACGACTCCGAGTTTCAAGGTAAGTATGATGATATTAGTCGAGTCCCGACAAACGAGTAATAGGATCGGATCTGATGTCCTCCCGAGCTGCCGAAGGGGGATTGTGTAGCGATGTAGTAGTATTCTTTGCATGGAATCCACTTAGACAACTGGATCTACCGAGTATCAAACTTGATAGATTACTGTTTGTTTGTCGATATCGATAGGTAGTTATACTTAATTCCCAACTTTTACTCAAATGTGTATGGCATTTCTTTCGTTTACACGGTAATTAATATGAGGTAGGTATATGTAATGTAAGAAGGGATAAGCTGGTCCACTTTAAAATAACCAACGAAAAGATAATACCCCAATTGATGCCCCAAATTACCTTACCTAATAGAACTATATACAGACAATCAGCCAATAAAAATCCACACCAGTAGTCAACTATTGGTAGTATACATACATATTAATTGATTTGCTCCAACACAATCTTGATGCTTGTCAGGAAGGTACAGTTACAAAGCACATGCTCAATTTGCATAAGGTAAAATGTAACATTAAAAAACCCTTGGAAGCTACACCTCCCTATGTATGCAAGCTATGCACTATGCAAGTTATGCAAGTAAAAAAGAAATGCACAGACCAGATTTGACTAAGAAAATGATCAAGTCAGGTTAATTAACTAGAGCCAAAAAAAAAAAAAAAAAAAAGAAAGAAAAAGAAAACTAAAACTAAACTACGAAACTCCGCGCTCTAAATCTCAACCGATTACAACAGGGTCTTTCCCATCATGTCTTTCCGGCTCTAGTAAGCGTCACGAGCAACCACACCTTTCTCGATTCCTTTTCGGGAAACCTGTCGTAAACTTTAGCGGAAAACGGAAAACGGAGAACTTAGCTCTATTAGTTTTAGTTCTTAGGTTCGAATAACATCTGAAACAATCACATCGATTGATTGACTGGTCAAGCTACCGCCAGCTTTTTTGGAGAGTTGTGTCACCCATAAGCCCATAAGCATCATTCTGGACCTACTTACTGAACCTCTTATTGTCTTATTGGGACAGTGTACGTACTATTATTACTATAGTTGATCTTGTACACGCCTACCTCTTTATATACGACAACCTATCCAAAAAAAAAAAAATGTTGGGTTCTATAGTCAGTTTCGGTAAGTCAACTCTTAGCGTCTATTTTCTCATTTATTATCGTCAAGTATGCCGTGGAACCAGCTGAGATACAATGTATATGCAGCCAACAATGCATTTTAAATTATAAAGCTGAAAGTCTTGTATGAATATTCTTCTCTCTTAATAGTTAACTTATGAAAATCTTGGAAAAAAAAAGAAAAAGAAAGAAAAAGAAAAACATAGTTCATCTTCATCTATCTCTCTGTTCATCATCTCATCTATTTATTAGTGCCAAACGCGCACGAAATCGGTCCGCCACCTAAGGATGTTCCGCCAGCTACTCCTATCAGATTGCCGCAATACAAGCCTCAATCATCTGACGCAAATTCTCACCCATCCCTTGTCCGTTTTCTGCAACAGCTGCAACGTCCTAATGAGCTTAACGAGTCTCACTTCGCCGCTCTTGGCGTTCAGTTACATTCTGATGCCCCGCCCGAGGACGTTGTTCCGGACCCATCCTTCTTGCCTATAGCCTCCGAATGGGTCGGCATCGACTTAGACGAGGCCCGGCGTAGGGATCCAACTTTCCGACGTACCTTATCTAATGGAAGGCTTTCTCCTGAGGCCCGTGTCTTCATGGACCGCCGTACTGAGCTTTCTATATCAAATCAGGCCGCTTTTCGGACCATTCGTCGTATCAAGCCCGAACCAGGGATTCAAGCGCCGCGACTCGGGAATTGCTATGAATTCTATAGGCAGATGGAGTTGATGGCGCAGTACTGGGATGACACCTCCTTACCACCACTCTCCACTGATAGTCAAGAGGAGTCACCACCCACTGACCCAAATTCTGAGCCACCAGCTACTGGTGCTTCGTCCGAGAACTCAGAAGCCCAACCAAAGGCCCCTGAACGAGTTACTTACCGCACCAATAGTGGCTCTAGCATGCCGGCCGAATTCCGTCATAATCTAATCTCGTCTTTCGTCAAACTTGTAGCCTACGACTTCGGCTGCAATGTGGTCCCGCCGAGAGCTGAGCCTCGTTTACAGCTGTTTTCGCCTCCGTGCAAAGTGATTTCAAAATCAAAGGTGCAATACTACCCTCAAGTAGCATCTTACTTTCCATCCGGATGCGTGTTTCTATGTAAGGCGCCGATGACCCGCGAAGCCGCTCGTGCGGGTATCGTCGAAGGCCCCATAGCAGCGGTGTCGGCGCGTAACACGACCAGTTTTCCCACTTCAGCGGAGGCGAATTTAGACTTCGGGCGGGAGCTTGTCGCGGCATTGATTACTGCACAACACCGCTCTCGCGAAGGTCAGCCTGAAAAACGGTTCGGCGAGGGCAAATGGTGGGCCACGCAGAAGCGCTGGGGTGGAGGCGAAGGTGGTCCCATAGGACGGGAGATCGACGGCGACTCCATCGTAGGCGATAAGGATTCCACTAGATCCAACCCCGAGGAGTCCGACGGTGTGAAGCCGGTGCCGGTGCCGGAAACCACTAGCGCTACCAGAGAGGTAAAGGTAGGAGGAAAGACGGTGCTCATCCCCATGCGCGGGCAGCCCGTGAGCAAGAAGCCACGGAAGAACCTCAGCATCTACGATAGCTACCGCATGGTGCGGCTACCGTCTTCGAACTGGGACAAAAAGACCAAGTACACAGCTGTCGGTAAGATTAAGGGCGTCGACTTCGACGACGTATTCGTGCTTAGCAGCCTGTACCACCACCTATGCGTGATCCGCGTGCGCGTACCCAACGCCCTGCTCGAGGTGTTTTCTGGCGCACCGGACGGGAATGTCAAAATCGAAGCGGGAGGAGAGAAGTTAAAGAGCTGGGGCAAACTAGAGGTGTGGCGCAGCAAATGGTACGATTTATTCATCGTCGACGAGCGGCTCGAGGCCATGCGCCTGCTCTGGGGGATGATGGGATGGGTTATGCGCACGGAAGATGAAAGCGGGAGCGCAAACGCGGGCGAGGATGTTGCCATGAAGAATGCTTAAAGTCTAAACTCTTTAATTAAGTTTGGAACACTCTGGATGAGTTACTCGAGCGCCATCCTAGGTATGGTATGGTATGGTATGATATGGTATGGGAGTCACAAGCTCGAGTTTACGAAGTCAGTTGACTAGTTACTTATTGGATCTAGAGTATGAGGTGGGCTACCTACGATGTCTAGCACCCGCCCATTCTGATAGACATGAATGAAGCATATGATGAATAGTAATAGTACGAAGACTACGTTCCTTTGTTTTAGCCTTCTTTATAAAAACATAGTTACATATAATTAAAACAATTGCTTGGGTACCTACCTACTTAGGTACAAGTACTGACATGAACATCTGATGTTCTCAGTAAAAAAGTAGTTCTACACAATTCGATAGTTACTTACCTCATATGTTATTGGTTTCTGCAATCTTACACCGCTAATACATTACATTTAATAGTTGACGAACAAGTGAATCAATTAACTAAGCTGTAAAGCGAGTATACGTTTGCAGATCTGACGTGAAATGTAGACTTACTTTAGGTACTTATGTAGTTCCATACCCTCGGCTACCTTTAGGTATATTAGGTAGGTAATAAAAACCATCAGGTGACCTTTCGCATATATCATGTAGATATAGGTAGGTACCTATGTAGGTACCTAGGTAATAAGTGATATCGGGCAGCAAGTAAGCAAGCAAGCAAAGCACACATGATACGCGCAGCCCCATTCATTCATTCATTTGCTTCGTCAAAATTTATATCTTTATACTT